CAAACATTAAGACTCATAAAACAATGGACTTCAGAACTGAGACGAGGAAACTGCACAGAACAAATTGGTTTGTTACTCTAGTATTTTTGTACAAGTGCCATGCACACAACACAATACACATACTGACACCTCACATAATCCTAGAGGAGAGATGTCTGCCTCTCTTTGTAACACATGTGGACTATGCATTTGTAGATATGAATTTTATAATTACTTTATTCTCTTATTTTATGATACAACACCTGTATGTATGTGCTAAATATCCATGTACGTATTTATGTATTTATTTTTTACAATGGTTGCACCACTATTTGTCATGTGCAGATCTCTGGTGAGTAAAACCTAAACAAATGGATGTCACTGGATTTTTTAATTTTATTTTCTCCGTCTCTGAGACAGTATTATGTTATCCTTTGCTGCTTCTAAAAACAATCTTCGCTCTACAAGGTGTAATCTGTAAATTGTCTATCTAAGTTTATTGACTAGTACATTTACTTACAACACAGAGAATATACTTTGTTACAGTTTTGAACTATAGTAATTAACCGTTATTTTTTTTGTATGTGCAAGGTTTACACCTTTTTTAAGGGTTTGATTTATAAACCTTCCAGTCTCAAATAAATGTGGTACCAAACTCTACCATTATACAGCAGGGAGAGCACTTTTGACTGTTACAGATTGCACCTTTTTGTGAGACATAACCTTTTATGAAATGTTTTTATTTTGTCCTTTTCCCTGTCCAGATTATTCTGTGTAGTTTCTTGGTATTATTCCCTTTTCCCACCTGTATGCAGTATTATAACATTGTTATTGTTTTCATCCAGATGTCTACATTTATATGTTTTCTGGATATGTGGGGATGGGGGCTTAGGCAGTGAAACAGTGGACCTTATTTATGTAGTTGGCACAAGGGTGACTGTTAAACTCTGTCCAGATGTAGCAAAGATCCAAAGTCTTAAAACCACTGAGCCAGAACTGTTCCTGCTTTGGATTCCTCTTTCTAAAACACTTTATCAATAACAAACTGAAGGATTTACTGACAGTGGTGAGAAATGAAGAAATACATCTGTGTCCTACCTTAGTTTATGCCTATGCAAACATAAACTCCTTAGCCCATGCACACTATTGTATGCTGATTTTATCGTTTTCAATGTGAGCATTAAAACAAACAACAGATGCATTATATTTCTGTGAATATAATGTGCATTTTCTTTGTTTAAAATGTTGGATTTTCATCTTGCTTTGTGGAAACTGCCTGCATTACGACTTGCAACAATATGCAAAGCTGCATGATATTTGCAACCGTCAATGTAAAGACTCCTGTCTGTAATGATCTCTGTGAATCGCCGCTAAAATTATTACATTGCTCTATCATTTGATGTAGCGTTCGCTAATCAGCTCGCCATTTATAAGACACGCTGCCAAGTCCTGGATGAGCCATCCACCATGAAGGATTTACTCGAGCCACTTTTGAAAACAGGAAGGTACTTAAGACTAATCAGTCAGTAGCTGCTCCTGTAAATATGATAAGGGGATTAGACGAATTAAGGCTGTTTAACTGTGTATAGGTGGCTGGTGAGGAGAGGTATTTCTTTTTTCCAAAATGACAAGGGAAAACTTTGTGAAGGGTATGAAGGTAAATCTACTATTTGAGACTTTCAGCTATTGTCTTCAGGTAGCTTTACCCATGACTGCACTAACAAACCATTCTGTGATGTTCCAAGTGTTTTTGCCTTCTTTTGTTCATCAGACAGGCTCACAGAACAATGAGAGTCTGTTACACTCTTCTGTCTTCATGCACAAAAGTTCCTATAAAACATGTTTCTACCCAGGAGATCCCATTTCCATATTTGCATCCAACATAGCCAATGTAACAAAATGTGTACTCTTTGGGAATAAATGACACACTGACCTTAACTGTCTTTGTTTACTGGGTGTCTGTGTCTGCTGGATGTGTGTAATAGATCAATAAGTGACTTCAGGTAACCCTGTTGAAATAATAGGTCCTGTTCATAGACCTAAAATATTATTGATTGCATTGCAAATTAAAAACTAAAAGCCAAATTGCTGCAGTTTAAAATGAAAACAAAAAGCCTTTGAGTGAGAGCTTACAGTATTACTGTGTCCTTTTGACATGTCTAAACCTGTAATGCAGTTAATGAGGATTACTGTAAGCTTTCTTTCTCGGTCTTAACTCGCTTCCCGTCTGCTAAGGCAGCGTTCATCTGTGAACTCAAGCGTCTTCCTTTATCCCTGATCTCTTTGTCATCTCTTTTTATTTGAAATCCAAGTAAATATTTAATCTACATTATTGAAAGACTTATTTTGTAGTGTAGTGTGATCTTGTCAGATTTAAATCACCAAGAAAAACCAAGAGCTGATAGACTTTGTAACTAAAGAAGCTAAACTCTTCTAAGGCCAAAGTCCCCACATAAATCTTGACTTTTATTTTGTTGTCAGGCTCCTTGTTGCAGTAATCTAAAGAGGAACATTCATCAATGTAGTCTTGCTGGCATCTCTTCGGTGATTAAAAATAACAAACAGTCATTATAGTCAGAATATTTTAGAAAGCATTTTACAAATGAGTGGCAAGTCTAATTTACGTTTTCAACATGACATTGTTATACAGCGCCCAGGGATGTTAAGTGTTTCGAGAGCAGGGATCAGAGTGCATGTCAGGCAAAGGACAGGTTAGACGAGTGACATATTCTACAATGAAACTGGGTGGATTGAAAGGCTTGGCATGAAAGTCACAAATACACAAGAACCATTCTTTGTCAAGGTTACATAACTATCTCATCACAATGCCTTGTAAAAGTATTCATAAACCCTTGATCTTTCTCACATTACAACCAAAACCTTAGGTGTTTGTTTTTAGGGTTTTATTTTATGAACAATGACGTGAGTAAATGTGAGATGGAAAGAAGAAAAAAAGTTTTTTTTAAATAAAAAGACTTAAAAAATCAGAAAAATGTGGGGTGCTTATGCATTTAGCTAAATTAACTCTTATACCCTGTCAACAAGATTTTTTTTTACGAGACTTGGTCACAAATACTTACGAGGTTAGTCACAAATGTGTGACTAACAAAGTCTACATACATCTTCAGAGAACAAACTCTGAAGAAATAGGAAGACGAGTCACGGATAAAGTTGGAGAAAAACATTAATCTAGCTGAAGTTACAATTTTCAGACATTGAATTTCTTACAGAACACTGTTTAAAACCGTCATGTGAAGATGAGAGGAGTTTGGCAAAAACTGCAAACCCAAACTGACAGGACAAACAAAGGAATATTAGTCAGACAAGAAGCAAAGAAACTGATGCTAATGCTGTTTTTTGTGCAAAAGGTCTAGCCTTTTGCAGAGGGTTGGCAAACCGAAGGTAAAAACAAAGACGCAAGAGGTCACATTTTCAATTTGACAGTAGATGCATAGACCAAACCACCCAAGCGCATGACAGAAAACTCACCTGAAACAGTATACCACTTAAATGGCAATGGTTAAAATGGCACATTATGCTCAATGCTAAGAAACACACTGCAGAAAAAGATTTAAGAAAATAATTTTTAAAAAAATGGATTATTGATTTTGATTCGGATATGGAATAGGTAACGTCTAAGGAACAAAAAAAATCTAGATCATTTGAGGACAAATATCAACCAACATAAGAAGTCAGAGAACTAAATAAGCTAAAAAAAAATCTGATTCTGCAGGCCATTCCAATGCTCCTTTTAAGATGATGGTGTTCAGGGGCATCTCATCCCGGGTCATGAGCAGGGCATCACTCAGCTCCTGGTGCTGTTGGATGGACCTAAACGTGACTGGATTTAGGTCAGCGGAGCATTGAGGTCAGTAAAACAGAATGTGTACCTCCGTCCTCCCTGAACTGCCTTCTGTGCTGGGAGACAAAACAAACCTGAGGTATTGATGTGCCATCCAGCTGTAGGTGGATCACCGGGTGGGTTCAGTTATCGCTTTGTGTTACGAGTGGTGACACTTGTTGGGAAAATGCATTATGATCAAAAATCAGACCAATAAAAAAAAAAGAAAAGAGGAGGGGTGGAAGAACATCTGTGATCTCCACCTTTTTAAAGGAGTCATTGTTTTCCCTTTATTGCACCTGTGTTGATTACATTAACACCAATACTGCTTTCAAAACTGCGTTATAAACATATATTTTTTGGACTTTTCATCTATTTTCAGTTTCTAATCCACATAGAAAAATACTAAAAATGAGGCCCAATGGAGAAAGATTTTATTCTAAATGCAGCTCACCAGGGATTTGGGCTATTTTTAGAACAGCTTTGCGGCCCCTCATTTGACCCCTGGTTTAAATCAAAGCATATTAATGTGTTAAAATAGTGAAGTCTATTTTACTGCTTCAAAAACCAAAAAATCATATATTTATGTTGTTTTATATATTTTCAGACACAGCATAAAATATTGAATTGTTAACCCCCCTGCAGGTTCAGAGACTTTCCATCCAATCTGAAAGCAGGATCTATTTAACAATCTGAAGAAAAAAAAAGCTGTTAGATGTTTAAAACTGTTAGAAAGAAATCCTATGCAACTTATAGCTAGAATCACAGAGTAAGGTGATCCAATGAGGACTGATCCAGAAAGGCTAACTACAAATTCTTACATAAGTTTTTAGCAAAATTAAAAAGGAAGCAGCAGTGGTGCGGGGTTAGAGCGTCAGACCCGTTTATGGTGGCCTTTGTCCTCATAGCAGCCATTACTGGTTCCAATCTTGACCTAAAGGCCTTCACATGATGCATCCTCTCCCTCTACACCATTTCCTGACTGAATACTTCAATCAAGGCCACTAAAACTAGAAAGCTTAAAAAATATATATATAAATAATCCATTGTTTCACTTTCATTTCACAATTCTGCTGGTACTTAATCAAAGGTTGTTGGTTGTAACATTAAAACAGGTTTAGCTTCTGTATACATTCTATTGTTTTCAGAAAATGTGACCCTCCAACCATTTATCCTAAAAACACCAGTGCAACAGATCTCTTTATTGATAAACATTTACCTGCAGTGAATTTACATTTTAAAGGTAACATATTTATTTTTTTAGAACAATTACAAGCAATGTTTTTTATACCAGCAGGAGGATTCTCTTCTGTAAAGCTGGAATATAAAAGCTTTCTTTTAAAGGAGGAAAAAAAAACAAATGTACATTTAATCAGAAAAAAAAAGAAAGAAATGGGCCAAATGGTACTTTTTTCCATGGCAGCTTGAGCTTTTTGTGCCACTGAACATTACCCTCTGTCCCTGTCTTCACCCTCCGCCATTAATCCTCAGTCTCTCAAATGTCCAAGCGACATGCCTTTCCTCTTTGGGCCGTCGAACACCCTCAGAACTGCGGTGTAGTGACAGCAACTACTCAAGCTTGAAATCTGAGCCCATTATGTCAACAGATGTTACAGAAAGGGAGGAGAGCAAGCGTGAGAGGAGGAAAAAATAGCAGGAGAAAAAAAAAAAAAGAGGGTAGAGATTCAGAGTGGGCAAAATTAACATTCATTAGAGCTTTTTTCAGTATTCAGCATTAGATACGGTCCCGAAACTAATTAAAGGAACAAAAGTGCGCATTCAAATTTTTATCCAATATCGTTTGTTGCATTCAAAGTCTAAATATAATTCCTTCTCTAAACGTTTTAAAAGTAACAAACATGGTTAAGATTGTTTTTTTATGCAAAGACAACTTGTCTGTGGCACTTTAGAAAATCAGTAAAAAACTAAAACCACACAGATCATGTGTGATAAAACTGGAGCTGCAAGGTGTTTAAACAAAACACCAATATCTGGGTTTCTTTAAAGCCTAAACTGCTATTTAAATCTTCTTTCCTTTTATTTATGTAAAAAAGGGGTTATTTGACTTAATAAAATCCGATTATCTCAATTTATGCAGTAAAGCATTATTTCCTATCCTTAACTAGACTTTTACATCATAGATGTTTGTTGGCCAATGCGTTTATAGACTGTGAATGGTGAGTTTAACACAGCCTATTTAATGCTAAAAAAAATCAACTACAGATAAAGAAAAAGCAGAGAAAAAAGCGCACTGTCTGATTCCTAAAATCTGGATGACTAGTCGGTACATCTTTAGTTTAAATATTGTGCTATATTTTGGCATTCCAACCATAAGTCAGACATTTCTCGCAGATTAAGATGCAACATTTTCATCTTAAGCTTTAAGTGAGGGAAGATAAAGAGGCAGGAGTCTATGATCTCATTTTGATGAATATTTCTCTGGACATTTCAATGGTCAAAAACACTAAAGTGGCAGTTTAGCTCGACAGAGAAGATGCTTTTGGTCGACAGAACAAAGGGATGCCTTTTTCAACACTCCACAGCACAAAACACGTTTTCCTACTAAACAGTGAATGAGAATAAAAGATGCTGTAAAAAACAGAAACACTCCTCAACAAGTTAAGCAAGGGCTTACCATGTTGGACCCTGGCACAGATTTTTATAAAAGCTGAAGTTTGCATGTGGATTTTATTACGATGACGACATTGAAAAGTAACAATGGCAGGTGGCTATCATACACTCACAGCTGGCCCCTCTGTTCTCTCTCTCAGTCCTGGAATAACAGAGCAAGACATCCACCTCAGACTTTTCCGTTTCTCTTTTCGCACGCCTCCTTTCTCTCGACGTTCCCTTTAATCGCATCGATTCGTCTTCTCATAACAGCTTGAGCAGCAGCTCATAGGTGGCGTTGATGATTCCCCAGGATATCAGTGAGCGGTGGTAGTTGAGATGGGCTCCTCTGAAGAGCATGGCCACGCTTCCCCCCCTCTCCCTCCACACTGTTAACAGCACCTTCCTGCACGGCTGGAAGGCTCCGCCCACCTGAGACTGAGCCCGCGACTTAACCACATTTAATGGGTAAAACATAATACCGAGGGCTGCACCCAACACCCCTCCGCATACAAAATCATTGATCAAGTCACCCGCCTTGTTAGTAGCTCCCGGCAACAGCTCCTTAATGGGCCCCCGCAGGCCGAAGAAGAGCACATTACTGGGGCCGTTACGGAGGAGGATGGGCACGAGGCCGCGGTAGCACTCTCTGACGCCGTGCTCGGTCAGAAGTGTCCGGAAGGTGTGGGCGGTGTTGTTAAAGCGCTCGTGGTGCCGATGGTCCTGCAGCAGCGTCTGTACTCGCTCAAACGGCGTGAGGATGGCTTCAGCGGTTCCCGCCAGCGCTGCGGCGAAGCTTCGCGTGACAAGCTCTGGCACGCCGCTGCCGCAGGCATGGTCGTGCAGTACTCTGGAGAAGTCCTCGTAAAGGCCAAACATGATAGCCACTGTGGTGCTCTTCTGGAGCAGTGGGGGGAGAAGGCCCCGATACAAATTCCTCAGCCCATCCCTTTGCAGCTGCTGCACCGCCTCGGTCACGACCACACCATGCAGCTGCTGGCGGAAAAGCACTTTCTGGATGGGAAAGGTCACCAAAATGTTGGTGAATGCCGCCATGGAGCCGAAGACATAATGTTTTCCTTGAGGGCCCAACTTGGCGCTGAGAACCCCAGAAGGCAGCAGGGAGGAGCCTCCCTTGGTCAGGCCGGTCCGAGGTTGAGGGGTTCGTGTTGACTCGGAGTCCATGGTGCTGACAGCCATCGAGGCTCAGTGGACGGCCTGATCCCCCAGCATCACATCAGCTTTGTGCATCACTGAAAATATATTAGACACAGAAATAATCATGTTTTACTTTACAGCAATTACATCTATGTAAAACCAGCATAAAAAAAAAGGAATTGCTTTTTAAAAGTCTCTGGCAAAACAATGATAATATGATTTCCTAGCTAAAGTATTCAACCCCCATGATTTATTTTTTTAATTCCTCAAATCTTTAGGGAATCTTTGTGGTTTTAAGTCATAAACGACACCAAAATAGTGAATAACTGTGAGGCTCTATATCAGGCTAAAAAACTTTCCATGATATAACCATTTCATATCCATATTTTTTCAACCTAATTGAAAGACCAGAGGAAAAAGTTGAACTTTAATATAACCATAAACCTATTCAAAAGTACCATTTAAAAAAATAGGTCAGCCCTAAAACCTCTCTTAGCTCAGCAGTGAGAAGTTATGAGGTTAAATCCTTTCATTTTCCTACACCCCTCAGAATGTGGATCATAGTTCAGTGAAGTTAGAACATCCCCTATTGGCAGTACTTTCTACTGATACTAAACAGGAGTTTATCGTAATATACAGTTTTATTGTTTTACTGCCCAACCTTAACTACACTGTTCATTTTCTTTAATGAACACAAACCTGAAAAGAGTAGCATGGGTGCTCACTCAGTTCCCTTTACTGTGATAACCCTAAATAAATCCAGTGCAACCAATTGGACTGAGAAGACACTAGATTTTGTTAAAAGATCACAGTGTAAACATAGCTGTCCTGTGAAGATCCTCTGGGTTTTTAAAGAATACTTGTAAAGAACCATGAAGCTGCAACTAAACCGACAAACAAGGCGGATACCACATTAATCGTTAAACGTAGTGTTGACTTCATAGTGCGCTGCTGATTATTTTCTTTGTCACCAAAAGGAAAGGTGGTCAGAAAAAGAATGGACGGAATACAGGAAAATCACTTTTTTTGTAGTTTTTTTTTTTTTTGCAGAGGTTGGAGTGGATGTTCACATTAAAACAAGAAAACTACAGAAAACAAACAGTCAGAGCTACAATCAAAGTATTTACTTTACTTTTTTTTATTCATGCATATCATGAATTAAAATGGGGGAGTGTTTGCCTGGTGGATTAGAGCAGTGTGCTTGTGCACAACCGCCACTCTGGGTCCCTGAGCAAGACCCTTAGCCCCACACTGCTCCCCCTAAAGGGATTGGTTAAATGCAGAGAGTTAATTTGTCCATTGTGAGATAAATAAAGTTCAATTTCTAATTTTTCCAATTTCATTTAAAAAAAACAACCCCCCCAAAATTAGATTTTCATCTGGCAAGATCCTAAATAAGAACAGCTTTGATGTGACATAATGGATTTATTCATCTTTGCCTATTAGGTAATAATATCATTATTTTGTGTCAAACATAACCTGGCAGAAATTAATCTGTTACAGCTTCTAACCTGATTCCTGTCCAAACAGGCCGCCTCAACTGCTGAATGATAAGGAATATTGCACAACACGCTGATAAGTTAGGACTAAAGACAGACCAAGAGCTAAAAACACTGTACAATCAGTATTAAATGACAATCATTAACATTTTAAAAATATTTTTACACACATGTAATAAAAGTAATAAATCAAATTCAGGAAATATAAACATCAATACAAGCGAACATAAATGTCTAGTGGAGCAAGTTATTAACTTCAAGCACTTCTGTATTTTTTTAAAGCAATCTAAATATAGATTTAAAGAGAAAACCAAAATCTTTATGCACAGCTTCAGTTCAGAATATTGAGCATGACACTTTTTGTTTCTTGTAGATTTTTTTTCCCCTACAAACTTTACTTTCCATGAATAAATGGAGGTCATACGAACTCTTACTTAGACACTGTTAATACTGCAACCATTGCATGCCCATTTTGAAATGGACTGCCTGTTATAGCTCAAATATTAATGTAAAACTATCCACCTTTAGTTTTGTTCTTTAAAATCACAACACTAAGCCAACTTATACACATTGTGCCATTTGTGATAGGAGGAAAAACCTTCCAACAGACTGAATCACAGTAAACACCGAAACTGTGCCACACTTAAACCTTTAATCTAAATATAATCCAAACAGTTAGTGCTAGGAACTCACTTATTTGTCTACTCATGCTTTTCCATTTACACACTACGTGAGAAGACTAATAGATCGTAACATAAGCCAGTTTACAAAATCTAGAAAACTTCAGAGTTTTGCAAGCCTTTCTGAGACCATCATTAACGTTATTAATACTGATGATCAGCTAAAATGCTTAACTGAACAGGCACACCTAAGCTAAGGTAATTAGCAACACAAGCTAGCTCAGATAGGTTGGTTTCAGCTTAATCTAGTACATTTGTGGTATTATTCTGGTTTATCGGGTAATACATATTCAGAAAGTATCTGGACAACGTCTAGAGAAGAAGCAACAATCCAAATATATGATACCTGTCTGCTAAGCATGCTAGGTTTGCCTTATTACAGTCGATATGGTCAGGTGCTGCCTGGCGGCGGCTGCTTTACGTGGTAATTGCTCGCTGTCAAGAAGGAAATGAGGCTCTTCCTTGTAGTTAAGCTCGTAAATGAGTGTTTACCTGCTACGTGTTCTGATTAGTTCCTGTCCTGAGCCTGGATAGGGGTGTTGTTTTGCTGGGTAAATGGGCCAACTCGGTGTAGGTCGTGTCTGGAGGTACTGAAGCAGTACGTGACAGCGAGCGTATGCGCCTGCGCGCTGCTACGGAATCTAAAATACCGTTTAAGATACAAATGTATGCTTTTGAAACTAAATAAATGATGTTGAATGGCGCAAGTTGCGAGGTAATAAGCTTTAATAATTAACTAAAACCTGTTTTACGCATGTTTTTTTTTCGTTCGCGCGGTTTCAGTTACACTAGCTAACTAGCCGTTGCTAACACGACAGACCATAGCGACAGACTACTTAGAGCAGTGTGCCGTAAAGCAAGATTGAAAGTATCCATGGTAACCTTCCACCCCCTGTACATTCCCCCATGCCCCTGCACAAGTTATTATTTATATTTTTAAAGAAAACATGAATAGGTACTTTTGTTCAATTTTAAGTGTTGTTATTGCTTGGGAATTCCCAAATATAGAGATATTTTAGGTTTCCTAAATTAGATATAAGTCTATTGAAATCAGAAGAAAATAGAAGTGTAAATTATCTCCGCAAAGTCAATTTATTATAGTGGAGTAGAAGCGAAGAAGCTTTTATACAGAATAGGGTGTAAGGATCTATAATTTAATTCAATAAAACTTTATTAATCCCAAAAGGGAAATTGGGGTTCAGTACAATTTTTTTTAAAATCATTTTACAATGGCTTACTTCCATTTTGATTCCTTGTCTTGTAAATCAAGTGTTTGCTCTATACACAACTAACCTTATCTGATAGTAATAAACATAATGAGTGTATTAAAATATTGATATATATATCTTTTTATTTTGAGGCATTCTAAAAATTGAGTCAAACGGCTCTACTAATGTTTATCCGTTAGGTGGCGGTAGTGCGCCTTTAGTATCAATTCCAACCCTCTTTCAACAAACAGAAGAAGCTGTTAGCCTGAGTTCATCAAACCTAGCCTAGCTTTGTTTGACTAACTTACGGCGGTTTTCAATTCTGTTTTATTATCTCGTTGTTTTATTTACTCACAACAGTTATGAAAGGTATACGCCTTATTTAGTGTTGCTGTATGCCTGTTTTTTTGTGTGGAGATATAATCTTAAAGTCGGATAGCTAAAGCTAACTAAGCAACGTTTTTTTGCTAGTATGTTTATTATATATGGCAAAAAATTGATTTCTTGATTAAAAAATTGATCTACTGCGTATTTTTTTCGAATGTGAATTAAACATGTTTACACTGCAGTTTAGACTGCTCGTGTAGTCAATTACTTTGTTGATTTGAATCTATTAAATAAACATTATTGATTAATAATATGTCAGCGCAAAAAGACTGTGAGTTTTTAGTTAAAAGAGCCCGGGAATTGGTTTCTGATGATCCATGCGCGGCCAAAGCCTGGCTAATAACAGCCAGAACCCTTTATCCAACAGATTTCAACATACAGGTAACATTAATCATCCATTTCCAATAGAGCCTACATCTGCCATGAATACTTTAAAGCTTAGATCTCTTATTTTTACAGTATGAAATGTACATAATTGAACGCAATGCAGAGAGGACAGCGTCGGCTGGGCGGCTTCTGTATGACATGTGAGTTACAGGACAGCATCAGACAGTTACCACCTTATTTCGCGCCTGTGGCAAAAGTTTGAAACCATCTTTTCATCCAAAAGGTTTATAAACTTTCCAGATCAGCCGATTGTATGGCGTGAGATCGCGGTGATCACAGCTGCCCTCCGCAGTGACTCTCAGGAAAAACACGCTCAGTTTCTAAGAGGTGAGAGAACTGAATGCCCTTCAAAATAATCATTGAACTTTCTTTTACACATCTAGCCACACTACCACAACAAAATCCAATGATTTTGTTTCTGACAGAAAGTGGAGAACAATTGTGAGGTGGAGGGAAAATTAGTTTTTGGGATTTATTGAAATTGTGAAAAGATACAATCGTTTCCTCTTCTCAAATGGGGGAAAAAAATCCCAACAGCATGATGCTGCTATCACTCTGGATATATTCACTGTTTTTAAGAAGAGTCTTATCTGACCAGAACACTTTTTTTTTGGAATATTGCTTTGCCCTCTAACCCTGCTTTATATTCCTCACAGCTTTAATGCTGACACATCTTGTGTGTTTCTAAGTCTACATTCTTTTTACAAATGTTTTACAAATGTATTATATTTGCAAGGCAATTCTTTTAATGAGACACAGCTGGAAACATTTCCATATCACACGTTGGTCTTTTTAAAAATAAATCTAGCTCTAATTTTCCTTCCACTTGCATCACCCCAATAAATCCCAACAATTTTTTATTAAAGTTTGGGGTCTCAACTCTGCAGCAGACTCTGCATCACATTGGTAACGCCAAACCATATACTGCATAGTTGCACCATATATATTTGAGTTGAAATGCTCTGAACTTCCATATCACCATGTTTTTTTTCTCCCACACTGTTTACATTTGATCACTGCTGCACTTCATGGAATGGAAATGTTCATTTCACTGCTAAGCTGCTGCTTATTTAGCGTCTGAAAGCTCTTCAAAAATAAATTTTGTCCGAGTCTAAGATGTCAAGTCAAGATGTGGAAAAACAGTTAACCAGTTGCACTTCTACAGTATTTGATATTGTAGTATCTGTATCTAATGGGCTTGATCATATAGTAATAGGTATATGAAAAGCAGTATTCCTGATTTCTCTTTTCTATGTCCAGCTCTTTTTGAGACTCTGCCTGGCCGTGTGCAGTGTGAGATGCTGCTGAAAGCCACAGAGCAGTGTTTCAACACGTTGGAGAAGGCAGAGATGCTGCTGCTCCTCCTGAAGCGCTTCCCAGAGTCAGTTGTCCAGCATGGGGTGTGTGCTAATAACGCTATATTAGAATTCAAAATGTTTTGATGTCTGACTCCAGTGTAAGCTTTAACCATCTGCTCTGCATTGCTAGGTTAATTTAGGAGAGACCTTGTTGGAGGCAGAGGTATCTGAAAATGTGGAATCTCCTGTCAACTGCTTCAGAAAGCTTTTTGGTGAGTTATTATTATTGTTATAATCATTTAAATGATTTTAGGGAATAAAACAATTTTTGTAACAACACAACAGTTTTATAGTGCAGATTCATAATGCCCATCACTTCAAGGCAGTTTACAGAGTCTGTTTTCTGTCTTGGTAGTCTGTGATGTCCTTCCTTTGGTTATAAGTAACATGGATATGCGCCTGCCTGCAAGCCTGATGCAGAAATACATACTGAAAGCAGCTGAGTTCTACATCGGTTATGTGACTCGTGGACCTTCAGCTGATATGCAGATACAGGGTATCCTGTAGTTTCCTCATACATTGTTCTATTTGTGCATTTGACTATGTTTACTATTGTTTTTTTTTTTCACTTTGTCTTCTTCAGGTAGCCAAGATGGCGCGACCCTAAAGTCACCTGGAGTTTCTCGTGGCTCCCAGCGATATGTGATTGATGGTCTGTCTGAAAAATCGTCAGTAGTGGCAGAGCCGTGGGAGAGGCTGCTGGACGTCCTAACTATGGTCGGTGCTCGATGCGAGTGGCAAGGCGACAAAGGACAGAGGTAGCATCCTGTTCACTTGGGCATCACTTTTAATATGGTTGTTTTGCATGGAGACAATTATGACCAAATATGCAGTAAATAGAGTTCTCAGGATTTTTTTTAATGAGTTTAGCGTTTTCTTTTTAAAGCCTGCTCTTTGCTGTAGGATTATCATTTACTGTTATTGCCATTCTATGGCTCTTTTATTTCTTTTTTGGGGGGTGGGGGGGCCGGGGGTCATTGGCTGGGCTAAAAGTCATTAGAAGTTGGCAAATTACATCATCAAATAATTAGCATATTATTTTTATGCTTTGACCCAGCCATAAGAGAGAAAATCAACAATGCAAGACAGAAATTGATTAAAAAAACTCAAGATGAACTTTATAGAATAATTTCTAGTATTCAATAAGTTTATTTTTACTTGGAACTTTACATAAATAAATATCATGTTATTATATAATATTCTGTATAAATATAATATTTACATTGCACTTTTTTTGTAATCCAGGATGATTGGTGGAAGCTTTTTGTTACTTTTCCATTCTGAAACAGAGAGGATAGTCGTTCTTCTCTCTCTAACTGCAAAAACAGGCTGCAGCTCTCTGTCAATTTCAGTGTTTTAGAGGAAGGGGCTCACTCACTTACGTTTTGCTTGAGACAGTAAAATCAGATCGATCAGTGCTTTCATGTTTTCAATAAAGTCCAAAACAATACACTCGTTTTCAAAAATCAAAGTCCCTAAAGGGTCCTGAAAAGTCACTAAATATACTACTGTGCTAAGTTATTAATCTGCCAACTGTGTGTTCAACTACCTTGGTGAGCCAATGCGCCTTAAAACTTTTCATAGCATGTCTGCAGATGGGTAGATAAATGTGTTTAAAAGCAGTTTCCGTGGCCTTTATGCTCATTAAAATTCGTGTGTATCGGCATAATTTCACTGTAATTCTAAAGGATTTTAGCCTAACCAGCTTTTGTGCTGAAATAAGCTGGAGTGGAAGCCCAGATGACTGGCACAAGGCATATATGCCCATAAAAACTGAGCGTATCGGCCCGATGCTCAACGTAACTTTGACGTTTTTAAGTGTATCAGCCGACTACCCTGAAATATGCAGATGAGAACCCTGATTAGTGAATAAGCTGGATGCCAGCCAGTCCAGTCTAATAGTGATTCATTAATCAGAAATTTGTTGCCAATTAAAAATATCAGATTTCTGTAAAGGTTGAGTCAACCAGTAAATATTTCTGCTGATTTCTCTAGTAGTTAGACTAAGAAAGATTTATTAGTCCTTTTGTTTACACAATTGTAAAACGAAAATAAATGTTGTTTGGAACAGCTCTCTGGACAATTTCATCTTTTTTAAAAGTGCACCCTTGAAAAATAGAAAAAAAAAAAATATATATATATATATATATATATATATATATATAAAAAAAAAACATAAACATATGACCAAATTTGCAGTTCTAATATTTTCATTCATTTCATCTCATAGTTGTATTATAATCTGATTTAGGAACAATATTCTCAATATCCTCCTCAGAGTTAGACAGATACAGGGTTTTTTTAAACCGGTGCTGATCACTGATTATTCTGATATCAGTCTAGTCCATCGCAGATATCTACTGGTGATTTTTCAGAGCCGTTTTTTTCCTCTTTTTTTTTTTTAAACCGACGTTCCTTTCTCCTTCTACATTTACATGATACAAATGAAACATAGATAACAGAACTTCCTAAGTTACACAAAAAATATTAATAAACAAATCAAACAAAACTCTTAATGGGTGAGAAATAGAGGGAGCCGAGATACATGCACCTCACTCAATCTCGAGGCATGGTTGCCGAATGGTAGTCCCGTACCAGCTGTTACTGATGCAAGAAAAAACATCTTTCTTGGCCGAAAAATTGGTCTAGCAGCACTTCTGCTGTAGACTTCCTGTTGTAATTGGTATTCAATTCATTTGTTCAAAATTAGAGCCACAAATCACATTTCCATTAAAAAAGGTGAAACCAAACAGGAAGAGGTTTTTGTCAGGAGAACCTAGATATTTGTAAAACAAGCAAGATCTTGTCTTTGCTTTTTTCTGATGATAGCAGCACTATTGGACTTTATTTTGCAGTATACTGAAAGCAAATAGGAAAGAAATGTGACACAGGTCTATAGGATGAGATAAACAGAGACCTGCTCTGATTATTGCTTTTATTTTTTTAAGCTTATGTTTTATGACAACGTTTTTTTTTCTTTGTTTTGTTTTCACATAAAGTTTTTGAATGAAATTTTTGATATAGCTGATAAACGATGGGCTCCTTGTGTTTTTTTTTTAAGGAGTTATATAGACATGCTGCAAAGAGTAAAAGAGCTGTGTCGCTATCTACCTGGTCTGGAGGGAGAAACCAGGTCCCGCTACTACAGTCAGGTCGTCATCTGTGCTGCACTCGTCCTCTTCCGCAGTGCCTTCCTCTACGTCTCAGCTGTACAACCATCACTGTTCCAGGGTCAGTCGCTGTCTTGAAACCACTTCAAGTTTTCTGCATATTTTGAAGCATCTAAAATGTTTTTGTGTTTGTCTTTTTGAAGGTGTTGCTGGGATCACTTCAGGTCCGTGGATCCTCGTGGAGGATTTGAGTCTGGTCTACAGTGATGTGGAGGTGGACAGAGGGATGCTGAAGCATACACATAAGAAACGCAAACTGGCTGATGGGAGAGAGAAAACAATGGTAAGAACAAACTGAACGCGAATACCAAACAAAGACTGGTAAGTTTCTTCAAACTGCCGTTTTAGGACCACAGTGGGTTCAGGGATTCCTCTATGTGCGTATTTTCCTAGAGCTCAGACGATGAGGAAGGTTTGGGAAAAGGCAGAGGTCGACATATTTTGGTCAACAAGACTGAGATGCCTAACTGGTCAGAAACATTGGAGAGTTTCCGTACAGCGAGGGAGAGTTGGGACCTCCTTCACTCTCACGATGGTCTGGAAGCTGGTAAGTAGCACTAACAAATGCCTGATTTGTCTCCTAGATGCTGCTTATCATAACAGCATTAGTAATGCTGTTATGATAAGCTGTAATGCTGTCAAACCTTTTATCATAACAGCATTAGTAATGCTGTTATAATAAAAGGTTTGATTCATTAGTTCTGAAAATTTATGTTTTTTTATGTCATTTAGAGTTTAAGAAGATCTGTTCTGCGTGGAAGACAGAAAGTTGGCTCTGGTTCAGGATATTCGTGACTGATATGATTATTTACCAGGTAAGGATCAAATATCAAATGATGTTATGTAAGCTTTGTTCTCACTTTTCCAGCTGACACCCACTCCTTCCTTTCATTCTAACTGAAAAAAATATAATTGTATTAGTAATACTTGTTATATACTGTTAGTTGAAATATTTTTTTCATACATTCAGCTTCTTGAAAGGTCCTTAAAGATATTAATTACTAAAAGTATCATTTCCCTTATAAGATTTCAGTGCTAGTAATGATTATATTGTGTGGTTGTTATTTCCAGGGCCATTATCGTAAGGCCCTCTCCAGCCTGCATCAGATGGCTGCTGTGCAGCAGCCTCAACCCCCACAGCAGAGCCCCACAGGCCAGGCCAGTCTGGAGCACCACAGGGCCCTCATCCAGCAGGCATCCTGCCACTACGCTCTGGGAGAATACAGAGTAAAGACATCCATCTTACTCCGCTTAATTTGGTGCTTGCATTTTTGCAAATCTGTCTGTTTTTATGGATATGGTGCTAATATGTAACAGATAATGCCAGAGATGCATTTTTACCTAGCAGTTGGTCTTAAGGTGGCAGTATAGGACAGCACTGCTGCTTTGAGGCAATTATGTTTGGTTGTTAATTTAGTCCTCAGGCATCAACATTTTTTATAATAGTGGAAATGCTCCTGTTAGACACCATTTTTCCATGTGACTGGACATCTAAACCTCTGAGACTTTTGTTGGCTGAGAACTTTATAGATTTTTAAAGTGGGGATTAATTAAGCTTGGAATATAATAGTGAGCAGTTTTTTTATTCCATTTCAAATATTTGTTTCCTTACTGGATGCAGAATCCATCTTCAGTGGAAAAGATGGGAAAAATATCCAAGAACGTAAAAAAAAATAAAAATAATCAGGAATATTGTTTACAGCAGTTTTTGGAGGTGGACAATTAGACACTTAAAAAGTAGTTTCTACACAAAAAAAAATAAAACCTCATAATTAATGTTTATGACTAATCACTCACACATCAATGATTTAAAAAAAAAAAATCCCTTAGCTATTTAACATTTGTTAAATGGAAAATAGATTTTTTTTTAAACTTTATAATAAATTGTATTAAATAACCAAACTTTCTTTCAAAAGGTTACTGTTGAGTCATTTAAATATTTTTATATTTAGTAGTTTTGGAAGAGCTACATTTATTCAAGGGATTTATCCATAAAAACAATTAGAAAATATAAATCATTAAGTTTTACTCTGTTTTTCCCTTCAGCTGTTTCATTTATGATCTATTTACCTATTTGCATCAGTAAATAATAAACCATTTTTTGCCTTTTTTTCATGAGTTTTCACATCTATTTATACACTCTGTTGTGTTTTGTTATTAAGATGGCCTGTGAGAAGCTCCTCGATGTGGTTAGCGGACTGGTTCCTCCAAACTCTGAACTGACCAAAGCAACAGAAGATCATTCCAGAATCAAGTCCAAGACCAGGAAAGGTAAACTTCCAGCATTCTGCTCAAAAGAGTTAAAAGCTGTATTATTATAAAGTTTTGACTCATTATCTAACTGCTTTTATTTAAAATAGTTTCCTAGCCAGCCCATAGCTTACAAACTGTACTTTGAAGAGCTTTGTAACTTCACATGAGACTTTGAATTTACCACATTATGATGATGTGGGCTTTCCAATAAATGTAAATATTACCAAAGGATCAAACTTGGCTTTTCCGTCAATATGGTCTTTCTGCCTGGCAGTGTACAGTATCATATGAGTGAGGGGCTTTATTCTATGCTGCATAAAACTTAAATATTATCTTTGGTTTTTCACTGAAAGGCGCAGGAGTCATGGTAAAAAATATTTTAAGCACAATACCTGTGGTTCTAGGTTTACCACCATTGGTTATTATGATGAAAGTAGGAACTCTTTATAGGGCAAGTTACAATTTTTTGGTCACTTGCTTTCCTCTTAGAAAGGGAGCCCCCCTCCCAACCGGCAGTGAGGTTTTGAAGCACAATATTTATATCCAGCCTTTCAGCAAAGGTACTGCTACACGACAGATCATGTCAAGTAAAAAGCTAATTGAAACGTTAAAATGTTAAGTAAAAAAGTCAAAATGTAAGTGCCTATCTATGAATTAATGATCTAAGGTTATGTACTAACAAAATATGTTTCCTTCACTGAGTGTTTTTCATGAATTACTTAATAGCACTTTTTTTTTTTTTTTTACATATTAGGGCAAGTGACTGTTTCTAGTTTTACACTGACCTTGATTTTCGCCATCAAAATACACATATTTGTTAAATGTTGCAAAAGTAATACGGTCTTATCCTGTCCTCCTATAACACTATTTATTTAAAATTTTGATTTTCAAATTTGTCTAAGTATTAAAGGGTTAAATATATTTGACTGTAGATTTATCTCATTATTCTTCCAAACATCCTTCTTTTTCCAGGCAATGACTTGAGGTTGCTTCCTTGCACCACCAGAGCTGTGTTACCATTTTGTCTCCAGCTGATGCTTGCTTGTTTTAAGGTACATGGATTAGTTTCATCTCTGGAATTAATTCAAATAAATCAGTTGAAATTGCCAGTTTCTACAAATGCACTTTAAATCTGATTCTCTAACTAATCTCCGCTCCTTTGCTTTGTTTGTTTAATCAGCTCAGAGCCTTCACAGACAGCCGTGATGACCTGTCTTTGGGCCATGTGGTGGTGCTGCTGCAGCTTGACTGGCCACAGGGGGAGATTCTGTTTTTAAAAGCTGTAGATAAAATCTGTCAGCAAGGCAGCTTCCAGTATGAGAACTTCTTCAACTATGTCACTAGTATCCTTATCTGTAACTGCAAACAATATGACCGAACTGATAAGATACAAGTTTGCATCTACAGTTTGTCATCTGTTTTTTTTTCTGTCATGTCCGGTATGTTTGTTTCCTTAAAGCTCCTAATTTCACTCAGACATCGACATGCTGGAGGAGTTTGCTTACTTACGGACTCCAGAAGGAGGGAGAATTCAGCTGGAGCTGCTCCCTAATCAGGGAATGCTGATTAAGTAAGAAGCAATCATAGAGCAGTTTCCCAGTTTGCATGGTGACTCTGCACTTTCCCTTTCTGTTGATGTTTTTGGAAGAAAACAGATTATTTACAAAGACGTGGCCTGTGGGGAAAAAGAAAAACAACAACTTTGCTTTGAAGTAAATGAACTGTGCCTACCAAAAATGTTCATATCGGTTTAACTTTTTCACATTTAATCTTATTAGAAACACTGAAATCTAATAAACACAAAAGAATGTATGATTTAGAAAGTTGAGGAAACATTTTTGTAGATTTCTTTTTTTTTTTTTTAAAGCTAACAGAAAATAAAATAAATGATAATAATGATTTGGAAGAATCTGTCCACAGGACCATTGTTAGTAATGCATTCCACATAAGCTGGCTAAAGTTAATGTGAAGATGCTAAAAGCTGGGAAACCCTGGAGGAATGTCTGTTTAAAACTGCAGAAGTAAAATCAGGAAGGTTCTGGCTTTATCTTCACTTTTCTTCTGCCACATATTGATGTGCCAATGGACAATGCAGTAACCCCTAAGTTGCATCCAAACTGCATATCAGGAAACAAATGTCGACATGCCACTATGTGCAGGTAGCTTTAATATAAAGTAGTCGGACTCGTGGCTATGATTAAAAAAAGTGCTTAGATGTTCTGAACATTAGCTGTGATGGAGCTAGAACTGCTTTATAAACAGGAGCAGGCAAAGATTTCACACATATAACTGTAAGGAAAGATGAGGCTACAAAGCATCGGTTCATAAAGACACCAAATTATCTTAAATGAAAACCATTTACCAACAATAATATTTGAAGAATTCCTTTAACAAAATGTGAAAATGTTAAACTGGTTTGAATGTGTTGGTAAGGGACTACATGTGTTAAAACCATAAAGCCGTATTTTTTTTTTTAAACTTTCTCTGGTTCGTTGCTGTAGCAGTTAGACTCTTAATGTAGCTTCACTGACAGAGTTGTTGAATGTTGCTGTCCCTTAGGAACCCTAGCCCCGCCCTGGGGGTGGAGTTAAATACCCTTCTGCTCCAAGGGGTGCAGACAATGGAAAGGTACCCCAGGCCCCTCCTTCCACAGTCGCCATCCCTCCAACACCAGTCACCCTTCCTTCATACCCAGCTTTTAGGCTTTTCATTCCCTCCACAGTTTTAATTTGGGACATTTTGCATCGGAAGTTAGTGGTTTGTTGATTTCCTGCCAGTGTGTGTTTTTATTTTTATTTCATATTCCCTCTTTTTTCTGTGGTCATCACTGTTCTTGTTTTATGAGGAGGATGTTGGTGTTGTTGCAAAGTCAGCTTTGTTGTTTACTGTTCATAATCTCATTTCATTTATAGACATGTTTTATGTTTTAATTTAAAATACTCAACATATGTTGTTATAGCAAACTGGTTTATTTGTATGTGGAAGGAAAAAAAGCAACATGTTGTTACCATGACTGTGTCTTTGTTGCGTTTGTCATACAGATGTCAGTTTTGTAGGTCATGGTTTGTTTGATTGTTTGTTTATTTTATCGTTTTCATCCTGCAGACACCACACTGTGACCAGAGGGATCACCAAAGGAGTGAAGGAGGATTTCCGCTTAGCCATGGAGAGACAGGTGTCCCGCTGTGGAGAAAATCTGCTGAGCGTGCTTCACCGTTTCTGCATTAATGAGAAGATAATCATCGTCCAGTCCCTTCCATAACACCTCGCCTGAGTCTTTACATTAGCACAAAATAAGAGCAGGCAGGCTGGTTTTTAGAGCCGAAAAAGCTGGACTTTTCTCATTTGGGATAACACCTGTAATCTGTTGCGACTCTGTGGATTTCAGAGAACAGTAACGTCTAAATCCTTCTTGTATTTAGTGTTGGTGTTGATGTTAAATAAAGACTCAAATGCTTTTGGATAATCTTTATTTTTTTGCTCACTTGATTGAATGTTTATATTGATGTTTGCATTGAATGTCACCTGGTTGGTTAAATTAGTAGATATTAAGTCATCATTTTATGCCATGCAGGCATCTAGAACCTCCATCTACCTTTCAAATTGACTAAGAAGGTAAATCCTAAACTTAACAAAAAAAGGAAGTAAAATCTATTTTTATTTCCTTTTCTCGAGTGTAGTTATTTCCAAACCAGTAAGCTAACACAAAACAGGATGAGACTCTTTATTATCACTTAACATTTATAAAACATGGGTTAAACACAGTTACAAAGAAAAGAGAACCGGAATTAATAACATCTTTTCTATTCATCTTAAGACCTTATCATGATTTTAAGTTTGGTCCTGATGCCCACCTTAAGAAGCAGTGCGCTTGTGTGACCAAAATCTGATCATTACTGTGTTCCCTTGAAATCAAAAGAAGTTCCCTAATGTCTCGTTCACACTTCCTTCAGGATTCCTATGTACTCTGGTGAAGTAGGGAACCCACTCTATACAAATTGTAGAGTTAAAGAAAAGCAAAACAAGTTAGGGAAAACGTTTGTAATTTACAACTTTATTCCCTTTCCAAATACTTTAAAGTCCATTGGTCCCATCTGTCCATTTAGCCCGTAAGTTGAGTAGGGATGACCTGATCTGTATTTTGTCCGATTCCGACATTTGAATTGAGATGTTTGCAGAACCCGATACTTTTCTTATATCAGAGCTCTGTTTGCTTTAATGTTACCATCATTACTGTCTTTTTCAAGAGACTTTCAAGAACTCCTATATACAAGCAAGTATGGCATGTATGGATGGTCACTTGTATATCCCAAATGGCAACCTCAGATTAATATAAGATGAGGAAAGGAATTCATTAAAACAGTAAATCACGTCATCGAGACATTTACATCTTAAAAAAACATATGTATTTGCAGGTGTTCAAATTGTCAGTTTTTATTAGATCAAAGACAGAAGCACATAGTAAACATTTCTGCTGTTCAAGAGATTTTTTTTACCTAGTTACATTTATCATAGAAAAAGGCTGAATAGATCTGCCCCTAAAGATCAGACCCATTTCTTTACGAATACTACTGTAGATCAGTGAATTTCTACAATTTAGTCCATCTGTAGCTTCCATTTTTATCCCCTTTCATCCAGTCTTCTTTTCTCAGATTTTTTTTTTTTATGCATTAAAGCGAACCATAACATGGATAACGGTATCTACCATAAATTCAGTGATATCCTTTAATTTAACAATTGGCTAAAGAGTTATTCCTCTTTATCAACCACTGGCAGGTCAGTCTGCAGAGCAGCTCTGAGATTAGCCCAGAACAGCCTGTGTTTGGCTTTGTCCTGAGGCCACTCCAGGTAGGTGTGTCGGTTCATCATTGACTTAAGCTGGTAGTACTTGGATGGGATAAGGTATTGGGGCAGAGGCTCAAGCAGCACCAGCACGATACTGTCCAAGCCCTGAGAAAGACGTTGGTGGCTGGCAAAGTACAGCTCATAATGGCACCATTCGCTCTTGACAAAGTGAGCAGAGAGCACAAACACTGAGCGGCGGCTTTTCTCCAAGCAGGTGATGATGTTCTCCATAATTGTCTTACCGGGTACAAAGTCTTTTTCATGGTGGCAGATTCGGAGCCCTCCTGCAGGGCCTTCGAGGTTGATAAGTAGGGAATTCTTCACCCAGTCTGCATCGTGCTGGCTGTAAGACACAAAAGCATGGAACTCTATGCCCACCAGGTCTTCAGGTCGAAGCTGCCTCATTCTTGCTCGATGTTTGGCTCTGGTCCACTGCCAGATCATACCCATGTACCAGGGAATATCTAGACGTCGGCACAGAACGAAAATGGTGACAATCAGTGCCACCGAAGGAACAAGGATGGTGGCTGCTAGAAGACTGGCGCTGCAGGAGATCTCAGGAACCCAAAAGCTTTCTAGCATCAAATCTCTAACTTCTTCTGGGTAAATGCAGTGGTAACCTTCTGGCCAGTTTCGCAGTGTAAGGCCTGAGGGACTTCGCTCATACTCGCTCTGAATGCCAAGGCGGATGAAGTGCCTCAGAGGGCAGGTACAGGTGAATGGGTTGTAACTTGCATCCAGGATTTTCAGATTGGGGCAATGGCTCAAGTGGTTCACTGTAGGGGCGTGGAGAGAGTTCAACCCCAGCAGAAGCTCGGTCATTTGGGGGAAGTCGACACACACTGGCAGATCCCGCAGCCTGTTACCTGTCAGATTCAAAGAAGAGAGATTTTCCATTTTGTGGATAAGTGACGGTATCACAGAAATCTGGTTGTTCTGCAGGTCCAGTGTTTCTACCCCTATTGGAAGACATTTAAAAACATCATCTGTTAGACCTCCAGAGGAAAGATTCATAAGGGTGATGTTACTTGGCCACCGACACTTAGAGGAACCATCGTACACCAAGGAGTTGATACTGAGGTCCAAGTGTTGAAGAGATTTCATGTACTGCAACCGTTTGCTCACTACTTGAAGGTTCTTAAGATTGTTTCCAACCAGAGAGAGTTTTTTTACATTACTTAGAGTCTCACATTCGACTGTTTCTTGACCCTCAAATCTGGAAAAGATGGAATCAGCCAGCGCACAGTAGGAGAAGTCCAAATCAAGGATAGGACTCTGATGCTTTGGACATGTCATGTGAATTAGCGATGTCTCCACAATTGCACAGTGCTTTACTGGCAGGTTGATGAAAAAGTTGTACACTGCCTCCTGAGAGAAGAAGAAGGAGTTTACAACTGCTTGTTTGACTGTGAAGGACTGCATTGAAGATGTCCCCTTCAGAATCGTGTCTATATAAGGAAGATTTTCAATCACTATTTCAGTGGCGCTTAGCTGGGCAATAGAGGTCCGCAGCGTTGCATTTACTAATTCGGTTAAATCTTTCCACTCAATAACAATGTTGCTGGTGGAAAGACTGAAAGTGGAGATTTTAGGTTTTTCACCAAGCCGCGTTTTTATATGTTTGTAGCCTCCAGTTACATTCTTCACCTCCACTTCTACAAAGTATGAGAATGCGTCGGCAATCAGATAACTCTGGATTATTTGCCCACCATTTAGGTCCAGTTGTATTCTTTTAGCATGAATATCCATTAGGCTGGCCGCCTCATAAGCAAATGTCTCATCCAGAGAAATGGTCAAGCAATGTAGCTTCACCTTAGCAATGTTCTTGAAATCCCCCAAGCTGATGGCTTTTGCTTCAAGTGTTAATTTCTCTACTTTTTCCAAGAAACTGAACTCTCTTCCCAAGGTCATGTTAAGAAACTTGTTCCGTGCCAAGTTCATCACTCTAAGGTTCCTTGTATGTGACAGGTACTGTTGATCTGACAGGTTCCTCAGCAGGTTGTGTGACAGATCCAGATTGTCTAAAAGCGGTGTGTCTACAAACGTCTCTGCCTCAATCAGCTCCAAGCCGTTCCATGACATATTCAGGAACCGAAGGAGGGACATGCTTTTGAAATCTCCTTTATGAAGCTGATGTATGTGGTTGCATGACAGATCTAATTCAGTAGCTGTGTGAGGCAAGTCGGACGGGACAGAGGAGAGGTTCCTTGACGAAAGATCTACGACGTTGTCGGATGAAGCACACGTCTGCGGTGACACCAATATGGCCGCTGCCCACAGGAAACCAGCCAAGGCCATCATCGTCTCTATGGAGAAACAGCAGAAGATGATAACAGATTGATGGGATAAAAACACCTGACTATACTATAATTTGTGTAGGAAAACAAATGTTTAATGCAGCACTCCTCCCTTGTAATGCTTTTAAGAGAAGAAATAAAAAAGCAGGGATTCAACAAACTATAATTTATTTTAATATTAAAGTATTGACTATTTTTTGCAGTTATCTGATTAATAATCAGATAGCTAATTGTTTAAATAAGAGATTTTGAAAAAGACATATGAACCAGATTAGGGTAAAAAAAAAAGCCACTTTAGGAGTCCTGAATAAAACATAATTACTTTAAAAAAGGTTTTAAATTATGAATACAAAAGTTATGCTGTTCCAGCAAAACATATTATACCACCATCGTTTTCTTCACTTACTCATTCTAAAGGTATATTACCAGAAAAATGTAATGAACAGAACAGATACATAAGGGTGCTCTAATATTTTCTTCCCATCACTGCATTTTCTTGTAAAATTTTGACTTAATCACTGGAGAAATTAAACTGTTCTTTCAGCAAATGGCATGCTATAGCGTGTATTGTCCAATTTATGATTATTCACATAGTAAATTAAATTGTGATTTTTAAATTTATTCAAACAATCTGATTTTTTGTTTACATGAAAAAGACATTAGAAATGTTTATAGAAAACAAAGATACAGTGATAAAATGATAAAATGTAGAGGATCCAATAGCACTCTAGCTGGTATTTAAACAAAGAGTTGCTATAATTAGTTGTAAAATGGAAGGAAAATATGCTGTTACTTAACTTTACTTGAGTAATTTTTGTGTGAAATATATACTTCTACTTTGGCGAACATGTCTGTCTACTCTATGGGTAAGTTGAGCTATTCAGAGGTTAGTTGAATCTACAATAAACAGTAGATATTATCAGAGGAAGTTCTTTACCATGGTTTTATATAAATACATTAATTGCAGTAAGGCTTGATTCTATAAGTAACATTGAAAAATATTGATCAGGAAACGTCTGCAGCAGGGAGTTGTTATTTTGTAATCAAGTCATCTATTTATACCTTTTTTAAATGCATTTTACTCTTCAAAATACCAGATCTTCCACATAAGCTGTCTGACTACATTATTTCTAAACATTTGATAAAATCTGAATATCCAATGGGTTCTCAGTTCTCAACCAGCCATTTTACTTTAATAGTATTTTGCTTGATGGATGAGTACTTGTTTCTTTAACTTGAGTAAAATAAATAAATGCTGAATCAGTGCTACTCTTATTTGAGTATAATTTTTGGGTACTCTACCCAGCTCTGATATTTGCTCCAACTAAAACTGTCTAGACATACAGAGAGGCCAATCAAATTAGGGAAGAAATGACTCGATCATCATTACTCAGCTTGTTGTTCCTGATTGTTAGGGCAAGATTTAATGTAATGAGAAAAAGAGCTGCAAAAGTGCTAAGAAACAGCCTACCTCACAATTTATTTTGTTTTTTATAATTGACACAGATAGATAGATAGAAAGATAGAGAGACAGATTTGAAAAAAAATTGGTCTCCTATATATTTTAGCATACTATTGTTACACTAGAGGGCGTTATTGTCCCTTGGAGAACTGACCCTGTTTTTCACTATTACCGTACATCTTTTATAGAGACTCACACATTTAAATCTAGACTTCTATCAGTGAGATGCTTTGATCATTGTGGTAATTTGCTTACAATAATTGCATTCTAATGTAGTTTTGTAATTAACATCATGGGCACTTCTAAACTATTTAAGGTGAACTATATACTATGACAACATTTTTTATGTTTTCTTTTATGATAAATATAGAATCTTTTCCACATGCATTTGTATACTCTGGATGATACCACAGCCATCAATGTGTTTCAATGTGTTTATAAATAGCATTATAGATTAAACCAGGTGAGTACCTTTACTGCATTGCACACCAAATACTCAGGTAAGTTTGGTGGTGACAGCATCATACTGTGGAGATGCCGGGCAGGGAGTAGGGTCAGAGTCAACTAAAAGGTGAGCTAAAAAAAAGCCTTTTCTTGGCAAAAATATCTCCTTTAATAGGCTGCAGAAAGCCTGGGACTCAATGGGGAATTACTTTTCAGCCACTCAACGACCCTAAACAAACAGACAGAGCTCCAATGGAATGATTTAGACTGGAACAAATGCATGTGTTAGGATGGCCCAGTCAAAGTTCAAATCCAATCCAAATAAGAACATAAATAAAAAACGTAATATTAATGGAAGTTTTCTGTTCAAACTGACTGTCCCTAAACTATTTTGCAAAAAACAAAAGGCAGAAAGCTCATCCTCTAAATGTAAATAACATTATAACTCACAAATGCATGTGGTTAAAGACTTTGAGGGCTAAATATAAACACAGACCATACAATTTATAATTCTACCTATCGCATAGAATTGAAGGTTAAGGTTGGACCTTAAAGACCATGTGATTAATAAAGCAAGTCCGTGTTGATTAATAAAATCACACAATCCTTAAGTTTCCTGTTCTTAACTTTTTGAAAACCCTACTTTGTTTGTAGATCAATCCACAAAATAGTTCAAACCAAAAGCCTTTAAATGTAACTTGAGCAAGAACAAACACATAGAAAAGAGCGCAGGATGTACTAACCTGAGCTGAGGTAAGTCCCTTTTCAAATCCAACTCTTCAAAATTCATATAATTGATTTAATAGATGAGAAAATAGTTATAAGACACCCATAAGCTCAGCTATAGGATCTACTCAGTTCCTCGCTTGTTGAAACGGTTCAACTTAATAGCAGAGCTGATGGGAAACAGATAGAAGTGAAAGTCCTTCTCTTACGAGTCATCATTTAAAAAAATTACATCCTCTTTTTACTTCCTGTTTTGTTTACAGAACAGACAGGCTTGGAGAAATCCTCCCTCCTGACAAGACAGTAGATATACAGCAATCCATTTATTTTAGTCCTTTTAAATCTTTAACATTCTTTATATCCCTTATATATTATATAAAATATTTTTTTGGTGGTATAAAGCATAAAATCTCCAGTTTTGCTCCAAGGGAGGTGTTGTTTGACGTGAGCTGCATAAAAGGCAGAGCAGCTCAGTTCCAGCAGCATATTTCTGTTAACACCATGGCGACCCCGTAATGCCAGTGGGATTAATCAATACACATTTGTCAATTTTTTAAATTTGCTTATCCCCTCGATGCCTTGAAGCAGACAGTGACTGTGCTGTTTGCTTCACAACAGGCTCTAGTGTAGGACAACAGGATTTTTTTTTAGGTGATTTTCTTTCTTTTTTTCTTTAAAACACACATATCCCTGTAATGTTTTCAACAACCCTGTGCTCTTTTTGCCTTGGGTGAGCGGCTGGCACATCTACGGAAAGGAGAGCAAAATTTAATAAGGTCAGATAACCTGTTGTGTCCTTTGTCACCTGGCAGTGTTAGATCAGATCTGGGGAGGGGTTGTAGATGTCCTTAGCACCTCTTACAACAACAATCTAAAAAAAAAAAATAGAAAAAAAGGAAAGACAACTACAACTATCGCTTGTAAATCCTCTAAAAAATCATCTAAATGTGTTCTTTGCTTATGGATAATCAGAAACATGTAAGTGATTATTAAGAGGAGATTCCAGTAAAGTATTTCTTCAAGATCAGAGTACAAGCTAATTATTGACACAGAGATGTGCAGAAACAAAAACCCTTGAAAAGAGCAGCTCATTAATACAGTTAAAAACTGTAATGAGGTGTCAGCATCTGCTGTTATAATTACATTTTCCATCGGTTTTTCGAATAAGAGTGATTTTTTTGTGTGAAAAGGCAGTAATAACAGCGTGCTTGGCTATGAGTCAACCTTTGTATGTGCGAATGGTAAAGTTGCAGGGAGGGGCTGAGAGGGTGCAGAAGTACACAGAGGGAGAAACAGATAGGGAAGGCTAACCAGGTTGTCAGATGGACACAGCAACACCTTGAGGCTCCTGTTGTCCCTCTCTGTTTGTTTCTCTGTGTTCGTTCACCTGCTATGGATCTACTGCAAACTGGGAGGGAATTAATTATGATCATACTTGCAGCTGACTGATATCTGCTTATTGCCTTCAAAGTGGATTTTCAAGACAAGGTGGACTCCTTCAGTATGCTGAACCATCCTCCCTGTCCCACATACCGTTTGGTTTCCCTTCTGTCTTTGATGTTTCTTTGGAACCAGGCAATCTGCTCTCCTGGGGAAGGAAGGAGCATCTGGCAGCGACCTAAATCGAACCCCATTATTAAAGAGCAGCTTTTTCTTGAGGAGACGTTCCCCCAAGAGTTCCTGTGGGGCTCTGGAACGTCGGCCTTTCAAACTGAAGGAGCCTGGAACCAGGATGGGAAAGGCGTCTCTATTTGGGACTATTTCACTCACTCCTCTGACAGTGAGACAGCAGATGTGGCAAGTGACAGCTACAACTACTGGGAAGAAGACGTGGCGGCACTTGGATACCTAGGTGTAAGATCATACTCATTCTCCCTCTCCTGGCCCAGACTTTTCCCTGATGGTAACGCCACTGGAGAGCCAAATGCAGCTGCTGTGGACCACTATAGCCGCCTCATGGAGAGGCTCCTGGAGAAGAAAGTCGAACCTATTGTAACTCTCTATCACTGGGACCTGCCACAGGTGTTCCAGGATCAATATGGAGGATGGAAAAACGACACGTTAGTTGAACATTTTAAGGAATACGCAGAGTTTTGTTTCAAAACATTTGGGAAATATGTCAAATATTGGCTTACAATCCACAACCCCTACTTAGTGGCTATGCAGGGATACGGGACAGGCCTGCATGCTCCTGGAGAAAAAGGGGGGATCTCTAGCACTCTAACAGTAGCCCACAACCTGATCAGGGTGAGTCCTGCAGGGTTACTCAACAACTTACTTTGTACAGTTTATATGGTGACACACAGTCTGTGTGCAAACTTTGACCTGCGGCTTTATCATTTTATGATAGTCAATGAATGTTTATATCTCCAGATTGGCTGTAAGGTTACAGGAGGAGTATAGCAAACACAGACTGGATCAGCAGTCTGATACCGGTTTTTACAAGACTCTTTAATCCAGTCTAACCTCTGCACATAATTAGCACAATAATCCCTAAAACATCTCTACTCATTGGGGGGTTATCTCCCCCTGATGACTGGATGGCTATATTTATATTGACAAGTTTTGTGATAAGTAAACAGGACACTTAAAGAGACACGCAGGTCAAAGTCCACCACATCAGCAGTTTTGTGGTGGAGGGACTCTGTGTGTGTGTGACAGGAAGTCACGGAGATACGCCTCATTAATACTCACTTAGGTTTATGCAGTGGAGCACAGATGGTCGGCTCCCAGCTAACACCAAGCAGATAGAGTAAGCAAATAATCATTTTCGGCTTCCTGTGATGCACTCCTTAATACACAGTTAAATATTTGCCTCAACTCTTTGTCCTAATTAAGATGTTATTTTTAATTTGATCTGTTGACATAAAATATTAATATTCATAGATAGCTCACATTTTGTCTGAAACCCCTGCTCTCTTTGATGCAGGAACTAATGTAATGTATGACGCAAAATTGCCCTTCTTGAATAGTTGAAGGCATTAAAGCATTTCATTAGATTTCTGCGTTGAACTGTAACATGAAATCACAATAAAATACAATTAAATTTGTGGTTTTAATGTGTCAAAATGTGTTTACTGGGTAAGCACACCATTGCAGGGTGGTGTATGTGGCTCATAAAATTAAAATGTGGCTAAAAAAGACAATATGTAACAGCCAAGTTTGATTTTATAAGTTAAACTGTTTCTGAATTATTTAAAGAATAATTTAATGATATACTTACAATGTATATGCTTTCTATTTTAGGCACACGCCAAAGCATGGCAGACCTACAACACTCACTTCCGCCAAGCTCAGAACGGTAAAGTATCCATTGTTTTAGGTTCCCATTGGGTTGAACCTCACAGGGGCCAGTACACAGCCACCAACGCTGCACTATGTCAGCAGTCCATGGAGGCCGTTCTTGGATGGTTCGCCAAGCCCATCTTTGGTGATGGGGACTATCCAGTCTCCCTGAAAACAAAACATGCAGCCCTAATGCCTATATTCACCCCAGAGGAGAAGCTGTGGGTGCAGAAAACAGCAGACTTTTTTGCTCTGTCGTTTGGGCCAAACAATATCCGTCTAGGCCAAAGCGTGATACGCTATGGGCAAAGCATCACTGCAGACCTGAGACGCCTCCTGAGCTGGATAAAACTGGAATATGGCAACCTGAAGGTGCTTGTCGCGGAGGCAGGCTGGTTCTCCAACGCCAGTGTCGGAAGAGAAGATACACTTGCCATCTATTCAATGAAAAACTTTATTCACCAAGTACTACAGGGTAAGCAGGAAACCTCTACGATGCAATGTTAGACAATACATTTCAAGCTGGGGGAAAAAAAAACTGAAATATTTTTCTTTTTCCTTTTAGCTATCAAGTTTGATGGTGTACAGGTGTTTGGCTACTTAGCCTGGTCATTGGTGGATGGATTTGAGTGGAATTATGGCTATGGTGTAAGAAGAGGTCTTTTCTACATTGACTTTAAACAGCCAAACAGAACAAGGCTCCCAAAGACAACAGCTCAATACTTTAAGCAAATTGTTGCAAGCAATGGTTTTCCAAATGATGAAACCTCTCTGGATGTTAAGGGCCAATTCCCTTGCAAATTTCATTGGGGAATTGCAGGCTCTACACTGCAGGTAAAACCCTTCTTGGATTCACACAAATTACAGTCAAGAGATTAACAAAGATCTGGTATATATAAATTTTTTTTCTTGCTGCTTTGTAGGTCCAGTTTCACCCTTTTTCCCCGCAGTTTTCTGACCCACATGTATATACCTGGAACTTGACAGGAGACGGTTCGCTGCGTCCAGTTCCCGGGTTGAAGCTGAACACCAGGCCAGCCCAGTGCACAGATTATCTGGCTATCCGCAACCATCTTCGCCTGTTAGCATCCACCGGGGCATCTCATTACAGCTTCGCTCTTAACTGGTCTCTGATTTTACCCGAGGGAGGTCGCTCGAATGTAAACACTGAAGCACTGAGGTAGAAATCAACAAGCACACAAACCTCTGAGTCTGACAAAATGAAACTAACTTAAACTGATTACACTTGAATTATACTGATTTCATTTTTTAGAGATAAAGATTTTTATGGTCACTTTCACCTTTTACATTTTCTCACATTACAACCTCAACCCCCCGCTGAGTATTTTATCAGAATTGTATCTAACAGACTAACACTAACTGGAGCTTAAATGTGAATTTGAAGGAAAACAGTTTATTTAAATTTAAATTTAGTTTGTGTAGATTGACTATGATGCCCCAAAATACAATCCAGAGCTACTAACTCCAGAGAAACTGAATCCACTACCAACTCCAATCCATCAACCAAAACTGGAAAGAATAAGTCACATCTGCAAAGTGTGCCTTACTGAACTAAAAGGCCATGCTTTGGAGAGAAAAGAACTTTGGATGAGCTGCACAGCTTAGGTAGCATAATTTATCTAAAGGATAAGAACTAATTTACTGCATACATAAAAGCAATTGTGTAATGAATGCCATAAGAAATTTACTAAAATCTTTGCCTCAGTCTTAAGTTGGTACACCTACAGGAGCAAACCCATCCAACAGAGATGAAGTCGAACAGCTAAGATCAAACCACTTCCATGCCATAGAATTACCCTGAACACTTCTAGAGAAGGAAGAAATGCCAAACATTTCAGTCCTTTGATGTCCAAAGCTAGTAGAGACATTACAAAAACTCTTGTTACTCTACTTGCAATGACAGACGGTTCGTAAAAGTATTTTGTCAGAGGGGTTGGATACAGACATGCGACTTAGATTTCAGATTATTTTTCTTGACTGTTTCATCATAAGATTTTTGTGTTTAGGTGTTTTATGTTTTGAAACACTGAGCTATTTTTTTATTTGTCTATTGTATAAAATTACAATAAATACACTGAAGTGTATGGTGCAAGGTTACTCAATGAAAACCTCTTCAAAGGATATGAATACATTGGGTAGGAACCTGATTTCCAAGTTTTCAAAAGGCCTTTCCTTTTATAAACTCTACCATCTTGTTTTCAAAAATTAACTCCTTCTTTTTTTTACTTCTAAAAGGTACTATCGCTGTGTGCTGACAGAGCTCAAGAGGCTAAACATGGAAGCAATGGTCATCTTGTACTACCCGTCACACAGAGCTCCAAACCTGGGTTTGCCAGGGCCGCTGCATGATTCTGGGGGTTGGATAAATAACGCCACAATAGAAGCATTTCTAGAATATGCAGCACTTTGCTACCAGGAACTGGGTTCCTGGGTTCAATATTGGATTACCATAAATGAGCCAAACAGACTTATAGATGTTTATTCCAATGTCACACAGAGGCACCAAGCAGCTCATAACTTGCTTCTAGCCCATGCCAAAGCCTGGAGGTTACATGAGAGGGAGTTTTCTGCTGAGCAGAAAGTGCTGGTGTCTCTCGCTCTACATGCTGACTGGGCTAAGCCGGCTAACCCTTTCCTGGAGTCACATACGGTGGCAGCAGAAAGATTTCTTTTGTTTGAGATTGGACGCTTCTTGGATCCACTGCTTGGGACAAAAGATGAAGAGACGAAGGGGAAATACCCCCATGAAATGAAGGTATACCTAGAAGAAAGAGCAAGAGTGTCTGGCCTTCCCGGATCGCCTCTTCCTCATTTTACTGAGAATGAAAGACATGAACTTAAGGGGGCATTGAGTTTTATTGCCCTGAATCATTTCACAACACGTTTAGTTGCTCCAAATCCTCACACACAACAAACCCCCCAGAAGGAATCAGCACCTGATCATGACTGTGTGATTCTCTCAGACTCCACCTGGCCTACCTCCAGCAGAGGTCAGGCTCTGGTACCCTGGGGCTTAAGAAAGATGCTGAAATGGGTGAATCAAAGGTATGGTACAGCTTTGCCTGTCATTGTCACAGCCAGTGGGATTGATGACCAAGCTTCTGTTGAGGATAAACTCAGGCAGTATTATCTGCAGAGCTATGTCCACGAGGCCCTCAAAGGTGAGTTATCCTGAATGCCTTGTTCAACTATAACAGACGTCCTCACTTCCATACCATGATGTCTTATGTCCTGCAGTTTAGATGTGTCCCTGCTTCCACACCTGAATCTAATGGCTGAAATACCTCCTTAGCATGCAGTCAAATGCTGAGTTCGACTTCAGTGGCTGTATCCTCCGAAGGCCAGATTCGTAGGCCGATTACATTATAGCGCGGCGCTGAGGTCTGTTAGGATCGGAAGGCTCCTTAATGCGGTCGACAAATGCATCCTTCTTTTTTGCCCGCTTTGTATCCTACGCAGCCTTGGATATCCCATGTTTCATTGCGAGTCAAGTAAGCCGGCCGCTCCATGCACAGAGGAAAAAGGTACTTGGCGCCGAACAGTGGTGAATATTGGATGCACAGTTTCTTCTAATGCAAGTATGTGAATAGTTTCGTCTAGAACTAAAATTGGTTTTTTAAATGGTTATTGAGTCAGATATGTGGCAGATAATGTTTGATTTATTTAAAAGTTTTTATCTGTTACTGTGTAAATGGGTTTGGCTGTAATTTAAGGACAGATTCTAATACATTTGCAGTGTGGGGACTGTAAATATGATATGATTTCTATTTTCTAATTGCTATTTTGCACAATTTGCTTTACTATGAATTTTTTGCTGTTGTTTATATCTTTCTACCGCTTTTATAGAATTACATTTGCTTATATTTGTTCATGCTCCCAGTGGTTGTCATCTTTATTCCACACTGTATTCTTATGAGTGTAGCCTTTGTTGACTTTACAATAAGCTTTCTGTGTCAACCCTAAATGACAGACCGTACGGCCGGTGAAAGCTGCGGAAGGCTGAACCTGCTTGTATTCACAGCCAAAACTCTTCCAGTCTACTTAATTTCACGGACCTCAAGTATCTAGACCAGGTAGACTGAGTCCTTGGAGGATGCAGTCTTTAAAATTGAACACACCCAAATTCTCTGGACTCCTACTAATGATCTGATTATTTGATTATTATTTGGTGATTATTTGGTGTGTTGAAGCAGAGACACACCTAAAAGGTACAGGACACTGGACATAGAGGGCTGGAATTTAGGAAGCCTGAACTATAGGGTATAGATAACAGTCTTTTTGTTAAGGATGTTTAGACATATATCTGTCTCATGACAATGATGTTTGATAATCTTATTGCTTCCTACAATAAATGTCAAACTTAATGAAACTGCATGAAAATAATAAAACCATAAATGAAGGGAGAGGCAAACTCTCAAACAGCAGCTCTGATTATCACTGCTTGCTTAGCTGATGATACTGAACATGAACCTTTGAGTGTTTTAGTTGGTTTCTCACCTTTTTGGATGAGGAAGTAAAACCTGAGAGTTAAAAAAAACAATCTAAGTTTTACTTTCTGTTTTCTTTGCTTTCAGCTTATCATCTTGATGGTGTAAACTTGCAAGGCTTCTATGTGTTGAGGCTTCAAGATCGTCATGACCCTGAGTTTGGTCTCTTCACTTCAACTCATCACCAATCCAAAGCCAAGAACTCTGTTGCTTTGTACAGAGAAATCATAGCTAACAGGGGTTCTCCTAACAATAGCACAACCCAGACATGCAGACCCACTGAGCAGCAGGAAATATGTCAGATGTGTGAGTGGATGTTCAACAACAAACCGATGCTGGTTTTTTGGGGCTGCCTCCTTATAACATTTACCATGCTAGCTGCATTGGTCGTTTTTGTTGTCATTAATAAGAGAAATCAAAGGTATGACAGAGGGAAGAGGAAGAGGAGAGGGAACCAAAAGAGAAAAAACAAAGCAACAGCATATGGTTTATGTCCTGCTGTCAGGTACTAACAGTAGTAAGGACTGAATTGTTAACATGTAGAAGAAAAAAGGCAAAATAAAATGCATGTTTCTCTCTTTAGTTTTCTTTCAGTGACAAATGAGTTTACAGACAATATATGTCACAAAAATGTCATAATAAATGGTCTTAAAAGGAGGTAAAACAACCCTCTCTTAACATTTTGCATTTAGTCAGTTTGAATGAGGTAGCAGGACAATGTTTTTTATTTTTTTATTTCAGTAAAATGAAAATATAAAGTGTATTTGCAGTATAGCAAAAAAATAAATAAATAAATCAAACTGTTTGTTGAAGCACCTTTAAATCCTATTTTAGGTGCGGGTATAATATCTATGAAACTCTGGAAACTGAACTTTTTTTTTTTTTTTCTTTGGAAAACATAGCTGAATTTTGCCAGGCTGTATGAAGAGCCCCTGTCAGTAACCGTTTTGCATGTTCTGCTACACATACTCTGTTGGACTTGGTTTATGACTGTGCTAATGCAATGCATGAATGTGCTACCCTAAACCATTAATGAACCTGTAGGCTGTGGTCTTTCTTCCAGGTGAAACTTTGCCCTGTTTCAAGTCTTTTGTAGCCTTTAAGAGGATTCACTTCAGGATTTCCTTGTATTTAGGTTTAGGTTTATCCATCACCCACTTAAACCCGCTCAGCTTTTCTGCCCCTGCTGAAGGGAGGCACCCTCACAGCATGATGCTGCCAACACTGTGTTTCACTATGAAGATGTGAATGTTTGTTGGTGTGTGACATATATCAACATCAAAAACAAAACAAAAATCATCCATATGATATCTTGATATCAGGTTTTAAAACTATTCCCTATGTTCTTGAAATATTTCAGTCTATGTCTTGTGTTCTTAAAATATTTCAGACTAAGCTCAAATGTGCAAAACCACAAATCATAGATTACACCATTTAAGGTGTAAACAAAGATAATACCAGTGTAAAAATGTTCATAGAAACTAAGTACTCAGCATATAACAGCAACAACGTTAATGATATTAATTATCAACTCAAAGTTTATTGAAAGTATAGTTGAAAGTTGGTTTCAAAGGTAAAGATGACCTTAAGTACAAACAAAACTTAACAAAAATGTAATAATACGAAATAAGTGAATTTACCACAATGTTGTTTTTGTGTTACTCTGATAAAGTCTATGTTTAATTGTGTGTTGCTGTAGTTTTTATAAGAACAAGCCTGATTTCCAAGGCATTCCCTACACTGTCTAAACTCATTCAATGGAACAACAGTGCCCCCTGGTGTCAGTACTCGATTCTGAGGTCAACAGAAATCAGTTTCTTTTAAAAATATGAAAATTAAATGCTAGACCACTGCACCTTATTTGAAGGACTAAATCTAACTGTACCAATAGGCAGTAGTACTTTATTGAGTATGTAAGAAGGACACGGTCCTGTTTTGTTCATTATTGTTTATTTTTTTAATAGGATCTTGAAAGGTTGAGTGCTGCTAAAAAATTTGAATTATCAAAAATATGTAACGAAAATAATTTTTTTTATTTCAATATAATGAATGAGGATGGCTGTGTAGCTAAAGAAAAAAAGATAACTCAAAACTTGTGTTTTTTTGTTGATTGTGGTAAGTTATTGGACCTTATTTATTTTAATTAATGATTAATAAAAATAAAAACTTGACAAAATGTCTGTTTGTTTTTATTCATATAAAAGTATTTAAACTGTGAACATATTCATCATTTTTATTACTATGTAATCATATTTAGAGCGTTATTTATTAGTGTTGCACCGATGCCATTTTTTGGGCCCGATGCCGATACCTGGCTGTGCAGTATCGGCCCATACCAATGCCATACTGATGCCATCTGAAATTAATGTGTGTGTGTATATATATGAAGAACTGCATACTACTTGGATGTAAAACAATTGCCATCATGGCTTTGTCAAGCTGCTGCCTACCTTTGTGAAGCAGGAAAAAGACTAACACAAAGTGAATCCATTAGAACTTTTTATTGCCTACCTGGAATGGGTGACAATAGTTGAATAAACTTCTGGCCCTCAAAATGCTTTCGGTGACCTATATGTCGGTACCCGCCTAAAAAAAAAAAAGATTAAAATGATGATTAACTGAAGACATATGGTGACTTAAATTCCAATAAAAACCTTTTTTTCACTCACTTTGAAGTTTAGCTCAAGACTGGCTTTGTTTATTTTTTATTATTTTAAAATACACAGTAAAATGATGGTACTGTTTGACTATTCTTCCCATTGTTTTTTGTAAAGAATAGTGCTGGTATTATAACATCTTTTCTTATGTTCTTTCAAATTTTTGGTGAACGAAGAAAAATTGAAGTAACAGCAATAATAATAATGATTATTAATGATGCTTATAATAATAATAATAATAATAATAATAATAATAATAATAATAATAATGATTATTATTATTACTATTATTATTTATATTATTACATAAATAATAATAATAATAATAATAATAATTATAATTATAACAAAAATAATAATTATTATTATTCATGTTTTTTAGTGATTGACCAATGGGAGGCAGCGCTGACGCTCTGGGTCACGTGACCCTCTCTAGACTGCATGCAGTTTTTGGTATTAAAATGTTTTCTGTTCCACCAACCATTGTGTTGTGGCACAGTTGAGATGACAGATACACGTTAGGCTATTTCGCCCGCATTAAACTTCCCACTAACATCGGGGACGGACGAGACAAAAGGTGTGCGACATTCCAGTTGTTATTTTTGCTTCTGTGTATTATAAAAAAAACAAAAAAAAAAAAAACTCAGGAGCTGCTGTCGGTAAAAGCAGCTAGCGCTAGCTCACTGGTCGGACTGGCGACGAGGCCCCAACCAACCAGACGGACGGTTACACCGTGGAAACTATGGCCAATATTGCTGTTCAGAGGATAAAACGGGAGTTCAAGGAAGTCCTGAAGAGCGAAGAGGTATGTTGTCGTGTTTGCCACTCCAAGCCGGACCTCAATTTATTTCACTTTCTGCGGCTGAATGAGAGTGACGCTTGTTCACTAAAGTGGCTAGCTGTAGCTAGCCGTAACGCTTTGATAATAAGGAGGCAAAAACGTCAGCTAACAAAAATGTGCCACTTAGTTAAGGCAAAGGTTAAAAGAGTACCTATTGCTTTAAAACAGCCCAATACATTTCAGCCTATAAAGCAATCTGAGAATATTTTAAGTGATCACCCTAGCTAGTCGCTAAGCTAGCTGGGGCAACCGGAGCAAATGTTTTTGGGAGTTGTAGTAATTAAAGCATAGTTAACCCACGTGCCATTTTCACCCAATATACATCATTAGGAGTCAAATTGGAATCGCTCTAACACAGAGAGCTTTAAACATGCAACAAGTTGAGGTCAACCTTTCACCATCTCAATGTTGCATGAGTTGGCAGTTAATGGTGAATTGTGTTTACAGGATAGTCGACTGTTAACAGCCTTCTCAGTGTTTAATGCTTCCTTTCTGTTTACTCTTCCAGACAAGCAAAAACCAAATAAAGGTAGACTTGGTGGATGAGAACTTCACAGAACTCAGAGGAGAAATAGCAGGCCCCCCTGACACGCCATATGAAGGTGAGGAACTTTTAAAGAGACACTGCTGTCACTGCCAACTTTTAATGGACTCTTGACCCCTCATTGACCGAATAGCATGCACTCACATAACAGATTTTATTCTACATAGGTTCTTAAGCATATTAACAGTCTAATCGGTTAAATGAACAAATGCAGTCTAAAAAAATAAACAGGTTTGGCAGGTATGAGGAGGACAAAACATGATAGTAATTGAGATGCATTTTTACATTATCATAAGAATTCTCCTACCACAACCCACAAAAGCTATGCGAACAACATCAAAAAAGTTTTCTGAACTGAAGGAACGATTGATAAAAACAACCTATTAAAATACTCTGTTCGGTATTGAAATCAGATTTCTTTTAAAAGATTTTTCATGAAGTTTAGAAAAAAGCTGTAGGGCTAAAAAAAAAAAAAAAAAAAAAAAAAAAAAGGAACTGATTACAGAGATAATTGTCAACTAATTAGGTAATTGAATCGTTACCAAAAGTAATGGCAGAAAGACTCTTAAACACAGTTTTCTAAAAGAGTAACCTGCTTACTGCAGTAATGAAGGCAAAGCTCAATGGATTTATATAATTAAATGTGTTTATGTTACATGTTTTGCAACATGTGCAATTCATGCACCAATTTTTCTTATTTCAAATCTTAGCTTATTTAGAAATGTTAATTTACTAAAAGTATCTCTCTTAAATAAAAAAAAATCAATACATTAATTGATTACTAAAATGATCAATAGATGCAGCCCTAAAGCAATGAGAAATTTTTATTGTTTTGAAACACTTTCTCTGATAATTTCTTTTTAAATATCTAATAGTATTGGTAAAAAAAATAAACCCTTGAGCGACATTACCAAGTATTCGGTCATACTCAGGATGTGTTTATGATCTCATCTCTGTGACCATCCATTAATTCATACCTTCCACTGTGCTTTTGCTATCCCTCACCTTATTCATCTTATTATGATCTCTTGGAGACATTCATACAATCTCAAAGACTCTTGACATAAGAAAAAGGACATCTACAAATTGGAATGTGACAAAAATAATGATGTTGATCAATTGTGAAAGGTGATGTTGACTCACCATAATCATCACAACATAAATTTGGAAATGCCAGAACTGCCTTTGGAATACATTGATTTGAGGGTTCAGTGATGATGCATTGAAACTCACCTTGCAAAAGATATTATGGCAGTTAAAAAGACTTTCACTGTTATTTATGCAAGATGTTGGTTGTACTATTAAACAGTCATGTTACAGCGTATTTACTTAGTTGTGTTCATCTCTATTCGTAACTAAATTGAATTGCATGCACCATAACAAAATCTTCGTACAAAAAAACATTTTGACCGAAGAGAAAAATTGATGGGATCATGGTGTTGATGGGGAAAGATTAATTGAAATGTGGGTTTATTGCAATAGTATCTACATTCATTGCAATAATAAACAATAGTATTGCACGGGCGTGTTGGGAACTTTGCATTTCAACCAAATATTCAAAGGTCCCACCTGTGTAACAGTGATGAATTTAGAGGAGTGCAGCGTACCCTTTGACGGAGGTTCTGTAAGGCTTGAGGATTTATATGGGCTTTTATTTTGATAGATCTACCTGATGGTTAAGAAATTATGTGCTACTAGTTTCTACAATTTCAGTATTATGTAGTATACACTGTTTAACGTTTTAGTTTAAAAATCTTGGTTAAATTGCTTTAGGGCTTTAACGATTATTTTTCTAGTCGATTAACCTGTCGATTTTTTTTGATGAATCAATTAATAATCGGATAGCCAAAGGTTCTTTAAAGATGATTTTTTTACAAAATTAAACCAGTTGAAAACTTTTCCTCTTGAGGAGGTCTTGATAGAACATATTAACAGACTGAAACTTTAAAAAAAAATCTTAAATGCGAAATGATATTCTTTTAAAGTTTTGATATAATTACTTCTCTAAACGGGTTGCTCTGTTAGCTAAAGGCATATTTTAGAGTTTCTGTACTCCAGTTAATAATTAATCAATTACTGAATTAATGACATTTATTTAAATCAATTAATCACGATTAATCAAATTAATTGTTTCAGCCCTAAATATTTCAATCAATTATCTTCATCTTGTTATTGCTTTCATTTTTGACAGGAGGTAGATATCAACTAGAAATTAAAATTCCAGAGACGTATCCATTCAATCCACCCAAGGTAAAGGTTCATCCTATTTCTGTACCAATGGACAATATGCATTAATAACTGTGTTTTCTACTAATCCACTCACAATTCATTGCTCCTTTCAATACCTCAGGTGCGGTTTATCACAAAGATCTGGCATCCCAATATCAGCTCGGTCACAGGTGCAATATGTCTGGACATTCTTAAAGATCAGTGGTGAGTGAATCGGTGTCAAGATTTTCATTTGTTTCTCCATAATTTTCTCAACTAAGACTAACCTTTATTTTACCAGAAAGACTAAAATTGGTTCTAGAAGGATACTTTTATTTCTTGCACTCTAAGTGAAGAAAACCATTGCTACTGTATTGACTATTTATTTATTTTTTGTTTAAAGAACCGGAAGCTGTTCTTCATTTTAACAGAGAGGAACATGAGGCTGATGTAAAACTTTATAAATGTAGAACAACTTTTTACACAAATGGACCTTCTGTTTGTTTTAGTCTCCTTCTTCCTTCGATTAAAGGGTTTGTGTTCTTACTCGGGCAGCTTTCTTTTTAATACTGGTGGAGTGTATACATCAGAACCTTACGGGAACAGATGGGCTTGACCCATGCCAACTAAATGCACCCCATAGTGAACAGAGCTCGCAGAACCCTGCTGTTGAACTTTGCAGATCTGTGGAATCCTGTTGATGAAATCCACAAATTGCATTTGTGCAGCTGAACTGTTGTTTTTACCATAAAGCTGTTATGAGGGCTCCACTTAGCTGCAGTTTTCAAGCACATTATGTTTCCCATGCCATAATAATGGCCCTGATACCAAAGTCTGATAATTTCCTCTATATGGGGTAAGATTTTTAATGTGCAATCTGGAGCATGAATGGACAGCTTTTTTCATCATTCTGTTAAATGCGTTTGTGTGTCTCTGCATCTTTTGTTTTTGTTTGTTTTCTTTGTTGGTGTACTTTGCCACTTACAATGATATGTTGTTTCAGGGCAGCAGCCATGACACTGAGGACAGTCCTTTTGTCATTACAAGCTTTACTGGCAGCTGCAGAACCAGATGATCCACAGGATGCCGTTGTAGCCAATCAGGTATGTGCATTTGTCAGCTTTATTTGTGTTTCTTTATTTGTCTTTCATTTTTTATCATTGATTTTTTATTTATGTTAAAACCTTTGAAGAACCCCTAATCAGTAGTTGTACTCTAAATTTATTTGGATAGAACACAGTTTGATCTGTTTGTATTTCTGCAGCACTTTTGAGCATGAACTGAACTTCATGCTCCGTTTTCAAAAGGCTTCCGTTTTCACACTCATTTTGATTTAAGGTTTTCATATTGTTTCAGCAGCAGAATGCAAACACCACTTTAGTGTCTGAAACCTACTTTTCCCCCCCTAATTCTAACCTGTAGAAGCGTACATTTAAAAAGATAGCAGCAGGTTTTAACCACCTCAAAACCTGAAATAATTCATACAGCTGGCAAATTTTGACTTGGTCAGTTTGCTTCAACCCACAAGTTTTGTTCTCGACTTGAAATTAGACTGGTGTTGAATTGATTCATTAAAACTTGTTCTGCAAGAATTCAGAGGAGGAAAAAAGGCTTCAGGTTTTAACAAATCAAACCTAATAACTCCCCTGAAAAATAGTCATCGTGGCAAAGCAATATGGAAACAATATGAAGCAGTTATGGTGGCAGGTAGCGATGCTAAGGCTAAGACAATACCAATACGCAGGACAGATGTCTCCATTCAGAAGACTTTTGAAAGCCTTAAAAAAACATTTCAAGAGAAAGTGAAAAAGCTAAAGCTATTAACAACAAAGTGATGGAATTTATAGCGCTCGAAAACTAGCCTATTTCTGTCTCTGAGAACCTGGATTTTCGTAACTAAATAGCTCTTTCGGAGCCACGTTACACCATCCAGTGCCATTACTTCCTCTCAGACGTGTCCCTGCCTTCCCTTATTAAGGTAGACACAACACACATCCACAACTTGATCAACAAAAACGGACTGCACCTAAGTTTTACCACAGACATATGGAAGTCAGATGTTAGTCCGGTTAGCATGTTAAGCTTAACAGCTCTGTGGTTGGATTAAGATTTTAAACATGCAAAAAGCAATGCTACACACACAATGACTACAAGGCCTCATGCATTCAGGCAATGTTTTGTTGATTGTTCACATTTTTGAGGATGCACTTTCATGTACATACATTTTTTGATATCGAAGCTGATATACATGTGTTGGTAGATCTAATTTTATGTTTGAAAATATTTTACTTTGCTCCAGATATAACTTTGCAGATTGTGAAAAATGTTGTAAGATGCCCATTTTTCTTCGACTTTTGTTTTCATTTTTTGTTACTAAGTGACTTTAGTACATATAATCTTATATTTGAAAAATACTGTACTTTACAAATATCTCTGCAGTTAAACCATAGGTTGATTCAACAATGAATTTTCAAGGGATGCTCTTTGTGTTTCAATTGAATTGTCTTTTGCTGCTGTTAATTAAAGCCAAAGACAAATGTTTTGTGTGATGACACAAAGTAAAAAATTGAAGAGCGCCCCAGATTATCCAAAGAGGATATTGAATATGAACTATCATTATCGGAATTGTTATCGGTCATGAAATTATTGGATGTTGGTTGAAATTGTTATCATGCATTACTAGCCTCGACCCATCTTCAATGCTCTTACCGAAGGAAGGAGATTGTTTCCCAAAGTCCCGCAATACATGGGCGTTGGTCATCCTTAATACAGAGCAGTCGCCCTGTCCCATGTGCAGAAAACCATACCCATACACAGTAGGGATGGTGTTCTTGGGATGGTACTCATTATTCTTCTTCCTCCAAACACGATTAGTTGAATTATGACCAAAAAGTTCTATTTTGGTCTCATCTGACCACATGACTTTCTCCCATGACTCCGCTCAATCATCCAAAGGGTCACTGGCAAACTTAAGACGTGCCTTGACATGTGTTTGTTTAAGCAGGGGAACCTTCCCTGCCATGCAGTTCTTTACAGGTCATTGACCTTCTCCTCCCGTGTAGCTCTGGGCTGATTGTTCACCTTTCTTAGGATCATTGAGACCCCACAAGGTGTGATCTTGGATTGAGCCCCAATCCGAGGGAGACTGATAGTCATGTTTAGCTTCTTCCATTTTCCAATGATTGCTTTAACAGCGGACCTTTTTTCACCAAACTACTTGGCAATTTCCCCGTAGCCCTTTCCAGCCTTATGGAAGAGTACAATTTTGTCTCTAGTGTCTTTAGATAGCTCTTTGGTCTTGGCAATGTTAGTAGTTAGATTCTTATTGATTGTATTGGGTGGACAGGTGTCTTTATGCAGCTAACGACGTCAAACAGGTGCATCTAATTTAGGAAAATAAACGGAGAGGAGGTGGAAATTTTGAAGGCAGACTAACAGGTCTTTAAGGGTCAGAATTCTAGCTGATAGATGTTCAAATACTTATTTGCAGCTGTATCATACAGATAAATACTTAAAAAGTCATATATTGTGATTTCTGGATTTGTATTTTTTTTTTTTAGATTATGTTTCTCATAATGGACATGCACCTATAATGAAAATTTCAGACCCCTCCATTATTTCTAAGTGGGAGAACTTTCAAAATAGTAGCATGTTTTGAGTTATTTTCCTAAAATGTCGACTAATACTCAAGGCCAAGGTTCTCTGTAGTTTGCCTGATGGTTTTGCAGAGAATCTTTTTGTATTTTCCTTTTTTCATGGTGCTTTTTACTGGCCATAGCTCAACTTTTTGATTAAAATCTTCTGAAAAACCACACATCAGACTCAGCCTAGTGGAAAGATGGCATTGGTCGGACTCGTTTATGCTGAAGTAAAGTCAGAGAGGAATAAGAGTTCTCTTGTTTGCACACAAACAAGGTGCAAAATCGAGGTAAATCGGTTTTTTAACACAGCTTCAAGAGCAAGTTTACGCTTACAATCACCTCACAAGGGCTGACTGAATTTCACATCTGATTTTCCTCTGACTGTATGATTAGTGATCGAGAGGTGGTCGGGAGAGTCTGATTATCCCTTGTTACCCCCCGTATATTACACAACGCAGGACGCACAATGAGCCCAAAATCTACTTGATCCTAAAAGTTCTCGCATGACTGAAAATTGGCCCAAAAAGGTAAATTATTCACATTGACTGTTATTTATCAATTATTGAAAAAATTTTAAAACAACTTATCAGTCATGTAAGCAATTACACAAGATTGCTATTAGCTGAAAGACCAATCTATTCAGAGCTTGATTGAAGCGTAATTGTACCAAAAACAAAACCTTTTTTCATTTAAAGATTAAAAACCATCTTTGTCATCTATCCAGAACTTATGAAGTGGAATTTCTGAACATCAAAACTTGTTAAGTTTTAGACATTTTCTATGCATATAAAATGTGTAGTAGTTGTTTTATATTAAGTGTAAACTGTTTTTTTTTCAGGCATGTTGGCTTAATAACTTTGTCTTTTTTAGATGAATTGAAAAAAAAAATGATTTTGATGCCTTCAGGTAGGTGTTACTTATGGAGGACCGATCCTGCCATAATTAAAAATGCTTACAGAAATAAATAAAGGACTTAATAATATAAAATTGCTTGAAAAAGTAGTTAATAATATGAATTTGTGTGCCATTAAATGTGACAAAATAATAAAAAGAAGATATTTCTTCAACAATTGGTCAATTATTTATCAAAAATATATATTTTAACTTGCTTAGCTTGGCAGTTATCATTTATTTTATTATGAAGCAATTATAAGGGGACAGAAAAAAATAAAAAATAAAAATCAGAAACGAGATTTTCCAACCATATCGCCCAGGCCTACTCTAAACCTCTTACTGCCAAGCTAAGCAAGGCTGGTAGTAGGGCTGACCTCTGTTTAAAGGCTTTGTTTAAATAGGGTTAGGGTTACAATTTAAACCTTTAAAGTTTTTCTTTTTTTTTCTTTTTCCCTGGTCCTTATTTTAAATCCGTAAAACAGCACATGTTGACAAAAAAAAAAAAAATCTGAAATTAACAAAAATGTAAACATAAGGCCTCGTCTTTGTTTAGTTGAGCATTTCTAAAGGCTACGCAGATATTTGTATGCCTTACCAGGAGAAGTAGCATCCCCCTTGGTCTGTGTCTATGGTACCCAGCAGAGTGCAGTGTCCGTTCGGTTAATTGAAACTGATTTTTCCCATAAATTAGGGTGACTAGGAGCAGCTTGGACTGTTTGGTGTGGTAGAACTTTGCATTTTCTCATAAACTGTGACAGTTTGCAAAGGGGGTGAAAAATTTTGGACATGCTCTTTTCCTTTGCTCAAATGCTAATAAAAGCTAAAAAGAAAAAAATCCAACACTTATGCACTTGTAAAATGTCTTCTGGGAGACACTTTGTCATTGCCATTAGGAAAAATCATTCTGGCTTAATAAAAGCAACCTCTAAATTAAAACTTGACTGGAACATGAATAATTCTGGGCTTAACCTTTTCTGCACAAAGTATTTTTTTCCCAGGTATTTTCCGGATAAGATTGGAGTTTTTATCATGGAATGAAAACTTTTTGTTCTACCTCTTCTTTTCTGAGCTCTGCCATTTGTGTTCATGTATGAAAAGCACTAATTCAGCTGTCTGCTGTTGTAACACATCATCATATAAATTTAAAACGATTAAATGATTAAATATGATCTGAACTTTAATCACTCAAGTTTCATGATTCTAAAAAAAAGATACTTCAATATTAACTATTTCCTGGATACTTGAGATGCATATCATTGGATTAAAATATTTTCCATTAAAGTGTTCTAATCACGCCAAGTTGTTGTATAAAACCAGTCAAAAACAACACATTGTTGACTAGATTAAGAATGAATCACAAATGATGAACAGGCTTTAAATTAATGACAATATACCTTTTTAACTTGGCAAAGATTTTTTCATGTGGAAACTTTTTGTGCCCTTCTATAGGGGTATTTGACATCTAGACAAAGATGCGCTTATTTATGTGAAGTTGTCAACTGTTATGTATTATAATGGCTATATCACTAATTGACAGCTATTTCCCCAGTTATCAAAGTTAATATATGGATAAAACACTTAACTACTGGAAACTTTTATTGGGTCACTGGTTTATACGAACATGAGTGTTTACTATATAAATAAATTTGCTGTGTAAATTTAGTTCAGATTATTTTTATAGAAAATTAAAAAAAAAACACGTAATCTCAAGGCACTTTACAGAGGAAATTAAATCAAATTATATGAACAGACTTAAAATTTCCTATCTAAGGACACTGCTGATTACATCGAGTCATTGACTGCAAAATTGACTCCTCCTGGATAAGTATGCAGCTACAGTAGTCCTTCGCTTGCATTGTGCCATTGACTCTGCAGCAAGTATGTATACAGCAACAGCAGAGAGGAAAAACTCCCTTTTAACAGAAAGAAACCCCAGAGGAACCAGGCTCAGTGTGACCGGCCTTCTCCGAGGCCGACTGGGGATTTAAGGAGACAGAAGCAGACATAAAACAGGAAAAAAAAGGCCTGATCTATATTTTTAATTTAATTTTGTTAGAAAAGCTAATGGTAAACTAGCTCCATAGGTGGAAAGAAACAGTTAAGCAGATGAGCTCTGAGCCAGTTTTCATGTCAGAGGGATGAAAGAGCACATGCAATTAGTCTCTGTAAAAGCTGAGCTGATAATTCTCTTGAAAGAGAGTCCTTTTGAGAGAAACGGGGCTAAGCAATGAAAAACGGACGATATCATGTATAACTAAAGTTGATGATGACAGAAGCCCAGCCGATATTTCTTTCCATGAGGGTGTCACAGCCAAACAAAAAACAGGTCAGATTATGACAAAAAGCGGGGAATAAAGTTAGAATTTGAACTAACAAATACTGCACAATTGGAGGGTAGAAGTACAACAAAGCAGAATGATGAAAAGTGCTTCTAATATCATCCAGTAGTTCAAGTCTATAGCAGCATAACTATAGCGATAGCACAGAATAACTTGAGCCACTCTTAACTATAAGCTTTATCAGAAAGAAAAGTATAAAGCCTAGTCTTAAGTGTAGACAGTGTCTCTGCTTCACTGACTAAAACTGGTGGAGCTTTGTTATTTATGGCTTTAACTTCAGTAGGAGGATTTCAAATTCTGCTCTGGATTTATCAAGAAGACAATAAGGGGAGGGTGAAATAAAAGTATGATCGTTCTTTTTAATTTTCACCAGGACTCTGGATGCAGCATTTTTAATCAGCTGAAGGCTTTTACCTGCAGTGTGTGGACTTCTGATTGTAAAGAATTACAATAGTCCTGCCTTGAAGCAAAAGATGCATGGATTAGTTTCTGACCATCACCCCTAGACAAGATTTCTAATTTTTGATTTTTTTTTTTTTTTTGAAAGAAATGAAAAAAGGAAATATGTTTAAAGTAGACTTTAAATGACAAGTCCTTATTTATTGCAAAGTTTTTTTTTTCTTTGACGTCATTATTGGAGACCACTTTAATGCTATCCAGATGAAATGACTGACTAAGCAGATTCCTTTTCAAATTCCAAAAACAATGACTTCTCATCTGAATGAAAAAGCTTTAAACTCTTGAGTAAGGGTGCTCCGATCAGGATTTTTGGGGCCGATCACCGATTGCTGAAAGCAGTATTGGTTGATACCGATCACTGGTCACCGATCACTGGGTCTATCTGAAGCCTTCTATTTATCATGTCATATATTCAATTTTAATAATCTTAACAAAAATTTATATGTGTTCAAATTAACAGAAGATAATGTATTGTGAATTGTCAACTGTATACTTCTATTGACAAGAAACGTTCAACATTTTACTTCCTTAGAAACGTCTTAAACAGCTTAGAGCTTAACAAATAAGCCTTATTTCTAAATAAGATACAAAAAATCTGTCATTGTTAATTTACACAAACTTAAAGTGTACTTAAACCTAAAGTGCAGAGCAAAGAAAACAAAATCAAATATTTTTGGGATGCCATGATAAAAAGGCATAAGGTATGTATTTTAGGCTTGTCCTGTGGTAATTAACTGAAAATAGAAGCCATGACGGAACAGTCACACATCTTTAGATAATATATCAGTAATTGTTTGGCTTTTTGACCTAGCTCAAAATCTAAAATGTCCTTTTAATCACTGCAGACATTTTTCAGTAGTAATAAAGTTTTGTAAATTTCAAACAAATGCTAACTTTAAATGTTCTTTTAGTTCCTTTAAATCTACATACATTTAAAGTGCACAGCATGGAAATCATGAGTCAATGAGAAAGAAGAGGAATAGAGATTAGTAAATCCATTTCTCTTAAAGCTTACTTGTTAAGCATCAGTGGCAGATTTTTCTTTAAAAATATAAGCATCTCTGCATTTTTGGCAGACAGCTTGTTCCTCTTCTAATCTACAATATTCCCTGCTGTGCTAAAAAGTCGCTCACTATCTACACTTGTGCATGGAGCACAGAGGTAGGCTTGTGCTGCTTGTGCGAGAGCGGGGAAATGACTTTTATTGTCTTGCAAAAAAACAAGCGGCTGTCCGCTCCGTGGGATGACTGGCTCTGATAGGTAGAGGTTCATCCGCCTCGTGGAATTTCCTTGGCACACACGTTGCAAATCGCTAATGTATTGTCTTGAAGCACTGCCAGACTGGTGAATGTAGGGAGGCCGCCATTTTAGCTGCGCGTAGATTACCTAAATGCACTACCGGGCCACCGTCCGTTTTCTTCTTCTTCCCCACTTCCAGTCGCATACCAATGCAGAGCAACTACAGAGGAATCGGAGGAGTGAATCCAATCCAACAAGTAGTGCGTCTCATCGGCCCATCTGATCGGCCTTTATGGAGACCGCCGATCAAACTAATTAAAGCCTTTATCGGCCCATAACGATCAGTGACCGATCAATCGGAGCACCCTTACTCTTGAGTCCTGGTGATATACATGACCGTTGTATTTTTTGTGATTAAATAGATGATCTTCTAAACCTCATGGATCTGGTAACTAAAAATGATCTAACAAGGAGCATTATTGAAAGCTGTCACCTTAGCCCCCATACATATGAAATATTCTGTTTTTTTGTTCCCTACACAGTACAAGCAAAACCCAGAGATGTTTAAACAGACGGCAAGACTCTGGTCTCACGTTTACGCAGGAGCTCCCGTCTCCAGTCCAGAGTACACACGTAAAATAGACAAACTCTGTGCCATGGGCTTCGAAAAAGTGAGTGGACTTAATTATTTTGTTTAGCGCTCTCTCCTTTAATGTTGTCTTGCATTGCTGCTGGTTAACACCTGGTTTTTCCTTTATCTCCAGAATGCAGTAATAGTGGCATTGTCGTCAAAATCCTGGGACGTGGAGACGGCAACAGAGCTCCTCCTCAGCAACTGAATTTGACGCCTGTCGTATTCCTCCTGATCCGCACGTCTGTCTCTCCTACAAACTTCTGCTGTCTGAAGGCAAATCCTGCTCGATCCTACCCTCTGTTTTACATCGGACACATTCCCCTTCTTCTCTTTATCCCCACTGTGTGACATCTCACCTGCTGTATCACACTCCAATCATCAACTCTGTCAGTTCATACCTCTGGATGATTAAGGCCACTCACCTTGTTACTTAGTAATACAATCATACATCCACATCTGAGTCCTTTTGAAGCAAAGTAGATGCCAAACCCTGCCCACTTCTGTCAGTCTTTGTCCCAGTTTTCTGGCTCTATCCAAAAAGCAGCTGTTAGCGGCTTTTCCTTGCCTATGCAGTGCATTTATTTTCATTCATGCTAACTTTTCGTTGGAGAGGGTAAAGCCACCTAAGGCAGCTTTTAGTTTTTGGACCTTCTACTTATTAAGTACACTTTTGGCTCATTTTTTGAACCATAGATTAAATATCTCAATAGAGGGTCTTGAGAACAGACAACAGTTAATAAAATAAATCTGTTTTTTTGGCATCAACTGGTTGCTGATAACTGAGAACATCTTTCTAGCAGTTGTATTGTAGTGTCAGTATATTTAATTCAAAGGAAAAAGAAAAAACATCAGATTGAAAACCAATGATTTTTTGCTGTCATGGAAGAATTCAGAACATACTGTAGTACAACCGTGTAGGTCGGCCTGTTCTGCGTTTGTGAAAACAGCTCATCAAGTGTCTTAGAGGTGTTCTCACAGTAGCCATCCTCATGCCAAGTCCCCCCCACCTACCATCCATCAGTCAGCGTCTGGCAGCTCCTGTTGGAGATCCCTCTCCTCCACCTTTGCCACACATGGATTTAAATTACTGCTCTTCATCTGGGGTTTCTCCTTTTTGTTTTAAAACACTTTTATTTAGGAAAATGGATGCATTTGATTTCCTGGTTTTAATCTGAGAGAAAAGCAAACAAAATTTATGTTCAAATTGATGTTCAACACAACTTGTGACAAGTCTAGAAGAATATGACCTCATCTTAATTGCATCAACAAATAAATGTCAATGACCAATCTGTAAATAAAAAGATTAAAGTCTGTGTAAATTAATCTGACATTTGATTTCTACCTTTTTTGTTGTTGTTGAAAATGCTATTTTGGTAATTTTTGAGGAAAAAACTGCCCCACTGGATGCAAAAGATTTTAGAAATTGAAAAAAAAAAAAAGTTAATTTTACTCAGGAATTTTTTTTTATTTATTTACAGTTTTGCATGGCTTTTTCTAGGACAACAGAAGAGCTATGAGATATATCACTTGTTTTCATTAAGTCAGTTTTTTTTTTTTTTACATACACTAAGCATATTCTCAGCTGTGTGCAGTATCACTGCCTTTGCATTTGATTACCGTAAGTAAAGTGTTTTGTTAGTTTTTTAAAGAGCTTTTTTCAAATTTTTTTTTTCTCTTTTTGTAAAAGAATGGGCTTAACAGATGGCCTGTATCATTGCAAGGCATGCCTATGTTCAATATATCCCAAACTCCTGGCAGTAGACTGGACATTATTCACACCAAATGTTGCACAGTGATGTGAACTTTTTGGAGTTAATTTTACTGCCCAGCAAAATTCAACTACCTCTAGGTGGTTTGTTCTGTTGCACACTGGATGTAAGCATCTCATAAAATATCCTGAAAAAAGGTCACAAAATGTAGCGTTGAGGCTCCATATCCCCATGTTTTGAATTTTAAAGTTTCTGCAAAGCTAAAAGTTGGTTTTGAATTTCCTCCCATCCTTGAAAACTTGTGGATTCCATTCCTGCTAACTGGGGAAAAAATTATTCTTGCAGGCTCAAATATATGCACACCCACTAATATGTTGGTATCTTTTTGCAAGTTTAAGTGAAACTAAATGCTTTTACAGCCACTTGCAAAATCCTGATCTTTTAATTTTCATTAAATATTGAGCTCACAATTATCGGAGCTCATTTAAAATGAGCTTCCTTGTAATTCTACAGTATCCCTCAGAAAAAACTCCCACTTTGGACCTAAATGGCTTTCCTAAGGAAAAGGGGATTTTGAAGTGTGTGTATATATATGTATATATATATATATATATAGACCTTCCTGATATTGGGTATCAAACCCCAATGATTAAATAATCGAATGGGGGAACAACTGACCTGAAAAAAATAAAATTAGGGCTCAGATGAGAACCTGTCACCCAAGGCAATGGGCTTGAGTAAAGTTCCCCTGGTGGATGTGAATAAAGCACTAAGTACAATCCCTGCTGCAACAATCAAAAACTAATGAGGTGATATACAGTACAGCATTATTGATCCTCAAGTAGCTTGGCAAAAACAAGAACGCCCATAGAAGACAATGTCCTCCATGGAAGAGAAGGTTAGAAGCCAAAATCAAGGCAACAAGGAAAGAAGTAAGCCAACTCTCAGAACTCCAAATCGGTTTATCAGGCAAAGGAATGATGCAGAAATACAAATATCCATACTTGAGGCCCTGGAAACCGCCAAAGACTTCAAGCATTGGCAACATGGAGAGACAAGCATGGCGGTAAAGTTAAGCAGGCACAATGGATCAACACATGGCAGATGCACAGAAAGGCATGGGTAAAAACACCAGAGGACCTAAACACCAACTACTTGTTGACATAACAGTCGCCCAAGACTGTAAAAGCAGACAAACAAACCTATGCACTCCCTATTTTGATTACAAGAAAGCCTTTGACTCAATTCAGCACATATACATTCTGTAGTGCCTGAAGTTGTACAAGGTCAGCAGTACTCTAAGAACCTTCAAACTCCATTTGGTTGTGGAAAACCACACTTGAGGCTAACTTCATGCCACTTTCAAAAATCTCAATCAAAGGTGGAATATCCCAAGGAGATTCTGTGTCTTTCCTGCTTATATGTATATATCTGAACTCCCTCAGCCAACTAATCAACAAGACTGGCTATGGATACTGACTCCGAAATGGCCGAAATCAGCCACCTCCTGTACACAGATGAAATCAAGCTGTAAGTTGAGAGTAAATGAGACATTGACTCACTGATCCACACTACTGGGATCTACAGCCATCATATTGAAATGTTGTTCAGCCTGAGAAATGTGGCCGGATGGTGACAAGGGGCAACGGGAGGAAAGGTAATCCACACAGAGGGGATCACACTCCCAGAAGGGAGAATAGGAGATGTAGAACATAAATGGCAACTACAAAAAGGCCACAAGGAAAGCAGTAACAGCCAAATAGCTGCAATGAGTAAGGCAAATTCTGAGAAGTCCATCAGATGGTAAGAACAAGGTCCAGGCAATCAACAGCTATGCCTTATTAGTAATCAGATTATAACAGAGGAGTAAAGCATATTTTTAACCCCTAAAACAAGCCACCAATTATGTCCATTTAAAAAAAAAATATCAATGGACATGGGAACATGGTAACATTATGTTACCAGTAATCAGTAACATTGCTGGACAATTAAGTTGGCTGAAGGAGGAAATTCAGGCCACTGATGTTAAAACATGGAAGCTACCCACCATGCATGGTGAATACCACCCAAAATCAATGTTCACAGACTAACCACAAAGAAAGAGGCAGAGGCCTAATGAGCATCAGAGCCACCATTAAGGATTAAACATCCAAGCTCCAAGAATACATCAGGAAGATGGCCTCAAGGGATGAAGCGCTTAGTGAATGTCTCAGACAGTAGAAGCTGGAAATGAAGGAAAAAAAAAAACCCTGCATGGGACTGAAGGACAGCACAGAAGCACTGATCATGGCAGTAAAGGAGGAAACCTTGAGCAGCAGAGGAATAGAAGCCCAGACCTACCATACCAGGCAAGATCCCAGGTGCAGGTTATGCAAAGATGCCCCAGAAACAATCTACGATCTCACAGCAGGATGTTAAATACTGGCAGGAAAGGAATACATGTAATATCATAACCAAGTCGCTGGTATAGTGTTTAGAAGCATCTGTGTAGAATACAAACTTGAGATACCCAGGTCAAAATGGGAGCCACCTCTCAAGGTTTGTTGAGAACGACAGAGTTAAGATCCTGTGGGACGTCCAGATACAAAGAGACAACATGATTGTGGGCAAGTAACAGCAAATTGTGATCATTAATACGCAGCAGACTACAGCTGTAATGAGTGATGCGGCCACCCTAAATTATGGAAAGAGCAGTAAAAAAAAAAAAAAAAAGAACATGAGAAATTTGAAAAATACAAAGGCCTGAGGGAAAAAGTAGAGAGAACCAGGAAGGTTAAGGCAAAGGTAGCGGCTGTGGTCATTGGTGCACTGGGGGCAGTAACCTCGACACTGGAAAAGCAGCTCCAACAGATACCTGGAGACACATCCGAGATCTCAGTCCAGAAATGTGCAGTTCAAGGAACAGCTAAGATACTTCAGAACCCTCTGGTGGAGGACACCTTGTGCCACCCAGGAGTACGAGGGGTGGGTGAGAGTGCACTTACATTTTTGGCTTTGAAGCGTAAATCACCATAATTAAAAATGACATCTGTACAGTTTTTTTTTTCTAAAAATTATACGATTATACCTTTAATACCATTCTATTATTTTGTGTACATGTGATTTATGCATCCAACCTTACTTATTGGGAGAAGTGATTCTAGATCTCTATATTAGAGTTATTGCCAGTTGAAAGGTAAAGAAAAATTACCAGAATTTCATCCCAGTGTAAAGGTCCTCCCTCAAAGATATCACATTATATGATGCCCAAAATAAGGTATATCAAAACATTTATTTGGGCTGAGGGTCCTATGTTTCCAGAGCGTGAATAATATTAGTTTCAGAAAGGGTTGAGTTTATACGAGTTCTGGAAATTATTGTTAGCTTTTCCTGCCTGGTCTATGCTAAAACGAGTTTTTCTGAATTATTTTCCTCTTTTAAACCTCCAAATCCTGCAGCTGCCTTCATGCAATTGCAAACTGGTGAAAGCCTGTCTGGATGAACATCTGAAAAATGAACCTTTTTGATCATGCTGACAAAAAGATTTTCTGGAGTTGTCCAGGTGAGAATTTCAAACCAAAGAACATGTACTTCCGTCAAGCATTCATCTGATTTGCATTGTGGACCAAAAGACCCACTTTGTAAATCAGATTGAATAATCAAGAAGAAATAATACCATCACATTTTTTAACATCTCAAATCAACATCAGGGTCTGAAAAAATTGGACACTGTTACATTTTTACATTTTCATAGATAGCAACCCACTATGAAACAGAAAACATTAAACTTTTGAAGCAGCCCAAAGCTCTGCAGATTTAAACACTATCAGCCAGGATAAAAAGCTGGACCCTGTTAAAATGAACGTTAAATAACATGAGTAATTTTACCTAGAACAGTGGGCCACCATTAAACCAAAATCATGTCTGGTGTTTGTTTTTTCCAAAATCTGTCAAAATCAGATATTCCAATATTAGTGGCAGTTCATATAAATATTAACCTGGTTGTTCATGTAAATATCAGAAAAAATAGGTGAAAATGTTGGATGAATAATATGTTTAAAACGCACAAGCTAGTAGATTCAAAGTCTTACTTTGACCCCAAATTTGCCTTTACAGGCTTTTCAAACATGGTTCTGTTATCCAGGTCTGCTGAGTGGATATAGATTTAGAATCAGAATTACTTTATTAATCCCTTGCAGGAAAGTCTTTTCTTGCAGTGCAACCATTTAAAAGAGGAACACTTGAGCAAAATAAAGTATAATACAATAATACAAAACAAAATAAGTAAGTAAAATAAGTAAAATTACATCCTTCCCATAAAAACAGTGTAAAATAATATATAAGAATAAAATAAGGTTCTCCGTATATTCAATTTCTAATAAAAAAAAATATTATCAGCAGAAATCTGACTGCCCTGAAAATTGCAGTTTAAATTAATGTTTGTTTACATAAAAGTCTAGAAAACAAAATCCCTATGCTGCAAAGGTCTGTTAACATGGCAGTTTTACTGCTAAATGTGATCTATAAATTACGAAGAATAATTAGAAACACGAAAAATAAATGTAATATCTTTATAGTAATATTTACTCTATTTAAAATTTCATGATTTTCATGAAGCTTCAATAATAAAATATTAGATCAGTGCTAACTGATCTCAAACTATTTTTTGTAGCAGCTGCCCAGCTGAATATATTTTTACCAAGAAAAAAAATTCATTATGTGTTCTGAGGCAATGATTCATAGGCATCCTGTTTCTCTCGCTCTGCTGCTATATGATAGCCAGGGTTTTTTTCCCCTGTCCCGTCAGCTAGACATGCCGCCTCCCCCACTAAGCAGTGAGAGCTGCAGGTTCGGCCAGATGAAACGCTGCCCCGCTATCTACAACTCAGTTCAACTGGGGTTGAACGGCCGTCATGTAAGACTTTTAAGGGAAAGAAGCAGTCGGATTCCTGCTTTAGGCTACCTTTACTTTGATCTGGGAGAAATCCAGAGATGTTCAAGATGATCCAGGTAATCTGTTTGACAGTGCTGCTTCCTGAAGGTGAGTTTTAATTCTTTCTCCTACAACTTTGGCTTTCTTATTTTCTTGCGGATTATGTCTTTTCAATCATCAACAAGGTATAGCACAATAAGTGCATGCAGGATGTTGAAATAATGTACTGCTGCAAATGCACTTTGATTATGAAATGTTGTATATAGGAACAACAAAAGCAGCAAATTCTTCCCAATCCAAGCATTTGAGAATGACTTGCTGCTTAGAATAATGCATATGTTTATCATCTTAACATTTTTTTTTTCTCTCAGTGGTTCTTTGTGCTCAGGGTCACTTTGCCCAGAAGCTCCTGAATGACCTGATGGAGAATTACTCCAGTGCCCTGCGGCCTGTGGAGGACACAGACAGAGCGCTTAATGTGACATTACAGATCACCCTCTCTCAGATAAAAGACATGGTGTGTACTGGGTTACTAGCCTGTCTCAGGATGTACTGTAGACCAATATGCCACACTCTGGAGCTTTCTTCACATCTAAAGCAAGTAAAATGTTTAAAAAGTTCAAATGACCAAGCCTTCATATCAAAATATGTCAAAACATCAGCAATTATCATAACCTAAGACAAATCAAATTGGAAATAAACATGATTAGTTTTAGACAGTCTTTCAGTGTGTGAGCTTTGACGCGAATTATTGTTGCTGCACTGAAGCAGCACATCTCTTGATGCTAACAAATGATAGGCAGACATGTTAACTGTTAAAAGCTCCCTGTACGGCCTACTGGTATTCAACAGGTTCAGATTGCCGTTCAGGTTCAGTGATGTGTCAGCCCTCAGTGAATCACCAGCTGGATGGTGGATGTGTTTAGTGAGACAGCACACCACTTTGATGTAATCTATCTACCAAGATGTGTGCTGCTGTTGGTTTGTTATATCAGAGTACACATGAAAGAGAGCTGACTAAAAGACTGAGTGATGGTGTTTTGTTACCTGATGCGTCTATGTGCTGTTGGGTTATGGGCTCTTATTCACCTGATATTGACAGATGATTCTGGACTGCTGTTGTCTTGATCATTTGAGTCTCTCTTGTCAAGAGGTGCTAATAAGCAGCAAGGAATAAAATAGAAGTTATACCTGTTTGCTGTTAAGATGATGTAAGATGTGTTTTAAATGGAAGAGAAAAAAAATAGCTCAGAATCCATGGAAGACATCGATAGGCAATTATTCCAAATCTTTTCCTCATAGTCTCAGGAATAAAAACTATTAATATCCTCTCAAACTCTAATTTTGTAACATTACTAACACATATAACAGTTTATTTGTAATTAAATTAATAGATTAATAGCCCCAAGTGGGGCTATTAATTAATTATAATTAATTAATTAATAGCCCCAAGTGGAGGACTTTAAGTATCTTGGGATCTTGTTCACGAATGAGGGAAGAAGGGAGCGGGAGATCGACGGGCGGATTGGTGCAGCATCTGCCGTGAAGCGGGCGCTGTACCGGTCCGTCGTGGTGAAGAGAGAGCTGAGTCAAAAAGCGAAGCTCTCGATTTACCGGT